TACTCCTCTAGAACAGCTTAATGTGCAAGGGATTCATTTGTCTTGCCGTCTCCTGAGATACACATGCCTGGCTCCATTCTGTAGCAAACGGTAAGTGCCAGGCCTCGTTCTTTGACTCAGACAATGATCGAGATCATTGGCCAGACCCGACAGAACGGGTGTTGAAAAGTTTGAGCTGGAAAGCACACGTGTTGCCTCGCACAGCGCCTCTAGGCACCAGGAGACGATGAGGACAAACACTATTGGAGGAACGGTCTCCTGACAGAAATATTATCTGATTGATAATGTGATATCATGGCCAGGATCCGGTCGAGTAAGAAGAGCCCAATCGCCCAGGCGGGCACGGACAAAAGCTGCCAAGCTGCTGGATGTACAAATATAACCAGGTGACCGGTTCTCACTTCTCATTCAGTCAGCGAGCTCGTCGCCTGTGAAACTGAGAAGAACGCTGCGAGAGCGAGTCACCCCAATGGACCAAAGCCGACAATGAGTGTGACATTGGGTGAAAGATCAGGCTGGTTAGCAGAAAGTAGGTCGCTGGTGGCCCATATCCAGGATGATATGATGCGCTTTAGAGTTCCCCGGGCAGTAGTTCGTCTTCCTGACCGCATCTGCGCTGTAACGTCGAAGGAGGTGAGAAATGACAGGGCTTCATCCGCATCAACGACGGCGGGCCCTGCGCTTGGAGGGAGGGAACAGTTCCCCGGGCCAGGCCAGGCCAGGTCGGAGTCGAGGGCGGTGGGTGGTGGGTGCAATGTCACTGCTCGGAGCCGCCGCGCAACGCCGAAGCCCTGTCATTGCAGGCTTGGGTGCTGCAAGCCGTTGGACACGCGAGGTCCGCCTCTTATCAAACAATGGCTGGGCCAATCATGAGCAACTGGGACGCTCACGGTTGATTTGTAGCGCCCCCAACCCCGCAACCACACCATGCCATTGCGTGCTTCGGCCGTCTGCATGTATGCACAGGACAAGACTAGGAAAAGGGTTTGCGGGCAATTGGGCTTTGGAGGGGAGGGCTGCAGCCATTGGGTGGTAGCGTCTTGTCCAAATTGATGGTGGGTGATGCCAGGGCCTTGTCAAGCCATATTCGTTCGCCGCCAGTGGTACCGCATGGCGGTGAAGGTGAGTCAGGCCGTTGAGATGTAATTGCATTGTGGCGGCTGACTGCCGCTCTTTTGGAGATGGGCTACAGGACTCCGGCCACGATAGAGACGGATCTGGGATGGGGTTGTAGCAAAGGATCGGGTTCCATAGCATCGTCTTGCCCTAACGGGAAGGTCAATCATTTGGCAGTGTTGGTGCCTGGAGGTGCGCGTTCATGGGGTTCGATTCTCAAAGGGTCGAGTCCAATTATGTTGAGTCCAAGCGATGTGTTGCGTGATTCGCCCAGGCTACCTGGGTAATACTGAGAGACAAACATTTGAGGGGTTTTGAGGTGCAGGATAGAGAGCAGCCGCGTGATGGACGGATACGCAGATCAATTGACGTGATTGGAGTCGGCTGGAAGGTCATGAGGGTTCCGTTTTTGCCATGAGGGATGCGAGCCCGTCGTTTCCTTCGAGCCTGGCCTGAATACCGGCAACTGTGCGGGCGATGCTGAACACACTTCACGGATTGCTGCAGCTCGATTTGATTCTATCCGCGCAGTCAAAGATGATGAGGCTGTGCAAAGAAGCCAGAGTGAGGAAACAATTCTTCTCATGCGAATGTACTATCCATCAGCCTGCAGGACGGCGCAGTGCTCTCGGCCGGGCGAGCAAGAAAATAAGACGCTTCTAATGTCTGACGTCTGACCATCTTGCATCCGGAAGCCTTCTGTTAATGCAGTAAACAATGAATTCGAACGGATAGCCCAGATGCTGTCGCGAACCCGCGCATGCGATCATTGCTAATGTCGCATCGCCAAATGCAAGGTGCCGCGGCTCACCAAACAGCTGACGGGCGACTTGCGGTGCATCCTCGGGACATTGAGTGGCGGGCCAAGAGCAGTGAGTGCAATGCATATGTAGTAATGGTTGCAGATTCGCGAAATTGGCTTCTGGTGTTGGCGTTGGCGGCGGCAGCGGCAGCGGCAGCGGAGCACGGCGCATGTTCCTGGGCCTGAGAGACGTTGGTTGCAAACCTTGAGCCTCGTGGCGGCCATCCGGTTTTACAGTCGAGCACAGTCTGTCCTCGTTGTGGGATATTCAAGGTGGGATGTTCCTGGCCAAAGGCATTATGGAGGACTGCCGATCTGGCTTGCAAGCAACCGATTTCTCAAGTTTTAGTGGTTGGACATTGGCGGACAGACGTATGAGCATGACATACTCTCGCAAAGTACGGATGAGAGGCGTGAGCGCAAAATGCCAAAGTCGAAGTTGGCGGGATTCCCAGTCTGCCATTCGCAGTAGATCAAGGTGAGGTGAAAACTAAGATACCCCATCGCTGCCCATTACAAGGTAGAGACTCGGGAACTCTGGCTTGGCTTGAGACATGACGCTGATCTCATCGGTTGTTGCAGGCTGAAGCTGTCCGATTATCACAGGCAAGCCGCAAAACCCGTCTCTTCGTCTTCTGCTTTTTTGAAGGTAGCCGGGCGTGCGAAACTATCAGGGAGTGTCGCTGCTGCTGATACGGCGTTGCCTATGCCGCCGTTTCCTGCAACGACAAAGGCGGCGTATGGAGTGTAGGCGGACGGTCGCAGACAAGCATTTGCCTGCGAGTGCGCCAGGCTGCCGGGAGCAACGTCCAAGGCTCAGGGATGCATTGTTGGTGACTGCAGGATGGACGGGTGATGGATGGATGGGGAGGAAGAAAGAGACGGCGTGGGAGTGGGAGCGAGGCCGGGAACGAGGAGGGGAAAGAAGACTCACGATAGCTTCCTTCCCACAGCATTGTCCATGTGCAACGGTCCTGTGGCTTCAAGACTATTTTTCGCCCTTGCCTATTTTGTTAAAGCTTCAAGTTCCTGGAAAGAGGTACGTATCCATACCGAACCGTAGACGGCTTCAGGTTGCCGACGAAATTTCTTGTTTCCCTTCCTTGGAACGTAATTGGGGTTGAATTCCTGAGACTGCGAGCTCAAGCTCCGATACGCACCTTACCTAGTCATGGTAGGGCTTGAGCTTGTCATTGGTGCAACTTGGAAGGTGCGTTCGATTGGTGGGAGAAGGGGGCAAGAGATAAAAGGAAGTAAAAAAAAAAAACCAGGGGGGAAAACCAGCTTACATCATTGCTATGAGCATCGAACATGGTCAGCGATTCCAGAAGCTCATTTCACACAAATATGAAGCTTGTCCACAAGCGCGCACGTTATCGGTATGGTGGACTTTCCCCACTGGCATATCCTTACCAAGTACTCATACAAAGTACCTGAGTGGATAGATAACATTGACGGAGTCTGGCTGCACATGTGGTGGGCGGTGGGGGGGCTCTCCAGAGTTCAAACAGTCGAGCAATGCAAGGCAAGCAGCAATGGAAGACATGGGACTGGAGCTACACACTACAATGTACGTAGTGTTCTGGATAATGGATAATGGATATGCATCCCGGACAAAAGAGCAGAGCAGCACATGCTTACTAGGAATTGAAGCTTCCCACTGGTCGAAACTGCTATCATCGTGCATATGGGCGCGGAGGCATGACCCTGCACAGCACACACCACACCCTGGCTCACGAGTCACCCTGCACTGCACCTCGGGGTACGGAGTACAGAGTACACAGTACCTACCTACCTACCTGCCCTACCATGCATTCTGTTGTATGGATCCCCTCCATATTCGTACTCTGCATTGCGTCTGTTGCCTGTCTCGTTGGCTTCATTCCTCCGAATGAGCCATCTGCAGCCTGCAGCATCATGAGCCGGGCAAACTACTCTGTGATGGACATGGCAAGGCACGGGCTCGGATATTCCAACAACAGAACAAATGACAACAACCACGAACGAGTCACGCCGATGAGGCACGACGACGAGGCGGGACGATATGGGAGAGGACGGGCCCTGCGTCGTTTAGAACCTTCGTCTCTGCCAGGCTGCCAGACCAGACTGACAGACCAGACTCACAGACTCTCACTCACATACTCCCGAGTCCCGAGTGATACAGACACTGATCAAAGTCCACATACCTGGTGTCCCCCCCCCCTCTTCCCTCGCTTTCTCGGATCCAGACACAAGGTACCTTTGCTGGGTCCCGCTCCAGCTGCTAACCCGTTGTCGCTCGCCGCGGGCTGTCTCGTTGCTGCTCCGGCCTCTTTTTCCTTGCGCTTTGCGGATACCCTCCTGGCTATACGGATCTAAACTCCGACCAATGTGAGTGTTACTGTGGATATCCCAAACTGTTCCGTCCACCAGAGGAACCTCTACATCCAGGACAGGGCATCTTTGTCGTCTTTCCCGGTGATGGCGATTCAAGGACCAACTAACTGGCTGACAGATTGAGCCCAGGGCCGGAGCCAGTGCCAGAGCCAGAGCTACAGCCGCCAGTCCAGGAACTTTACCTTGGCTTTTGTTTCCCTCAACTTCCCCACCCCCAAAACCCTCGATTCTGCAACAATATTGTGCCATCCTCCCTACACCTCTTTTCTTTCCTTCTCTTCCTTTTTCTTTTGGTTTTCCCTCCCCGCCCGTCACCCATCCGCGTCACAGCTTTGGCTTCTACGGATCCCGTGTGCGATCGCGGGACCCTACACCCTACCGCCTCCCTCCTTCTCTCTCTCCATCCATCCAGAGAAAAAAAAACAACCACAACAAACGACAGTGAGATCGATAAACGCGCCCTTGTCGACGTCCACCTGGCTGCTGTTTCTTTCTCGCCTCGCCCAGGTCCGAGGTCGGCTCCCGCTCCCAAGCTCTCTTTCGACTGCTGCGAACCGAACCGAAACGCCGTTGCCAAATCCCACTTCGTATTACCCCAAACAACTCCAACTCCAACTCCAATCGATCGCCGTCAGAGCTCAGCCATTGATCACTTTCTCTTGGGCGCTTCTCCCCACCACCCGGGAGTGGGGTACTAACAGCAAACATGGGCAGCTTTGCTCAATGCAGCTGGCCGATCTGGGACATTGACGATCTCACACCGTGCTTCCAACAAGAGTGAGTCCCTTGGCCCCTCGCCCCCTTCCTCACCAAGCCGCACCAAGCCGCACCACAGCGAAATAAATCGCGATGCTCTCAATCCTCCAATGCTGTCATCAACTCTGACTTGATGGTGCAGCCAGACCGCTTGCCCACCATGCTTGTCTCATTGACTAACCCTTGATTTCTCACAGCTACCTCAAAATCCTGTTTCCTCTGATTGTCATAGGCTTCTCCTTCCTTCACCTCAGCCTCCAGGCTATTCGAAGCGCCGCGAAGAACCGAAAGCATGGCTACGACCAAGTCCCGGAAGAGCACCACCACGGCCACACCGATATTCCTCCTGAAGAGGCCGACGATGAAGACGACGACGAGGCACTGACCATGAACGGCGGCGGTCGCCTCGCTCTGGTCAAGACTACCACCAAGGGATCCATTGTCCAAGCCGACAGCCCGCCAGCCCAGAACTTGACCATTGTCGTCGAGGAGCTTGGAATCGCCGGTCTGATTGCGATACACATTGTTGCATTGGTCACTGGGACAGTTCCCGGTCAACATGGATTCTTGGTCACCATCGTCGGTTTGGTCACTTGGGTTTACGTCGCCATCCTCGCCACTCTACGACTCTTCCTCGGAAACACGAAATGGCGCGTCCCTCGCATCTGGAACCACACAGCCACAATCTACCTTTTCCAGTGGCTATTCACCGTGGGCATCTTCCGCTCCGTCCTTATCCACCCCAGCAGCCGCCTTGCGCAAACGCTTGTCATTGTCGAATTCGTCTTGACCTCGCTTCTCTTCGGTCTGGCAATCACGACCCGCAAGGGCAATAAAACGGTGCTCTTGGAATGGGAAGGCGACATTGAGCCCTCGCGCGAACCCCTCGCGTCTCTTTTTTCTCTGGTCACGTTTTCCTGGGTCGATCCCATCATCTACCGCGGCTACAAGGAAACCCTCGAGATGAAGAGCGTTTGGAATTTGGTCCCCAAGGAGAAGGCAGCCGCCGTCCTGGCCGACTACCGCGCAATGAAGAGAACCTCGACATTGGCCTGGCACTTGCTCAAGTACTTCAAGGGTGAGCTGCTGCTGCAGTTCGCTCTGGCTGCTTTTGCGGGTATCTTCACCTTTGCCCCAACATTGCTGCTCAAGGCCATCCTGGAATACGTAGAGAGGCCCGAGGGCGCTCCCATCAACGTCTTGTGGTTGTACGTGATTCTCTTGCCGGTCCTCGACATTATCAGGTCTTTTGCCGACAACTACGCCTTGTGGATTGGTCGCAAGATCTGCATTCGCATCCGCGCCATCATGATCGGCGAAATTTACGCCAAGGCCCTCCGACGCAAGGCCTCGGCTGGCAAGGACAAGGAACTCGGCAAGAAGACACCCGCTGCTGGAAAGCAGAGCTTGTTTGGAAAGATCAAGGCCAAGCTGGGTTTCAAGAAGGATAAGGCTGATGCTGAGGCTGCTGCTAACGGCACTGCCAAAGACCCGGCAAAGGACGACGAGCAGGCCAACTTGGGCACTATTATCAACCTCATGTCGGTCGACAGTTTCAAGATTGCCGAGGTCACGGCTTACCTGCACTTCATTTGCGCGTCCGCTCCTTCGCAGCTTATCGTGGCCATCGTTCTACTGTGGGATGTCATGGGGCTCAGCGCCATCCCTGGCTTGGTTGTCATGGCTCTGCTCCTACCCATCAACTACAGCTTCGCTCGAGGCTTCGCCAACACGTCCAAGAAGATTCTGGGCGCCACCGACAAGCGTATCAACGTGACCAACGAGGTTTTGCAGAACATTCGCATCATCAAGTACTTTGCGTGGGAGGCCAAATTTGGTCGCATTGTGGACGAGAAGCGTGCCGCCGAGTTGAAGGCTCTCAGATCCCGTTACATCATCTGGTCTTTCGCCGTCGCCGTGTGGAACTCGGTACCCGTTCTCATCACTTTCTTCTCCTTCTTGATGTACACCCTCATCGAGCATAAGCCGCTCTACCCTTCGGTGGCCTTCACTGCCATTTCTCTCTTCATGCTCCTCCGCGTTCCTCTTGACCAGATGGGAGACATGTTTGCCCATGTTCAGGAAACCAAGGTGTCATTGGATCGTGTCGAAGAGTTCCTCACCGAGGAGGAGACTGAGAAGTACGAACAGCTCGGTGAGGACAACGTTGATGAGAATGGAAAGAAAGTCATCGGCCTACGCAAGGCCAACTTCATCTGGGGCGGTAAAGACGTCGTTGCAGATGACGGATCCATGGCTTTCCGTCTCATGGACATGGACGTCGATTTCCTCATTGGCAAGCTCAGCATCATTTCTGGACCTACCGGCTCTGGCAAGACTTCCATGCTCATGGCTTTGCTTGGTGAGATGACTCTGGTCGAGGGCAAAGTCTACTGCCCAGGTGGCCGTAGCCGTGAGGATGTTCGACCTGATCCTGAGACGGGTCTGGCTGATACGGTCGCTTATGTCGCTCAGGCTGCATGGCTTGTAAATGCCAACATCAAGGAGAACATCCTGTTTGCTGCGCCATACGATGAGAAGAGATACAGGGATGTGATCATTGCCTGCGCCCTGGAGCGTGACCTTGAAATCCTGGACAACGGCGATGAGACCCTGGTTGGTGAGAAGGGCATCACGATGTCAGGTGGTCAGAAGCAACGCATCTCGCTCGCCCGTGCAATCTACTCCAATTCGCAACACATCTTCTTGGACGACTGCCTCAGCGCCGTTGATTCTCATACAGCACAATGGATCTTCAACAATGCCATCAAGGGACCTTTGATGGCGGGCCGAACTTGCATCCTGGTCACCCACAACCTCCAACTTTGTGCCCCCTCATCGCACTACGTTGTCTGTCTTGAGAATGGTAGAATTACTGCGCAGGGACCATCTGCTGAGCTGATTGCTGCCGGTAAGCTGGGCGAAGATGTTCAGAAGGCTGCTATCAACTCTGCTTCAGTGTCCCGGATTCCGTCCCGTGTCCCCTCTAGCGTTGGCGAAGATGGCTCAGAGACCGTGGTCAACCCTGGCGACGAAGGCGCCAGCGATGCTCGATCAAAGAAGAACGACAAGAAGAAGGAGCAAAAGGATGCCATGGAGGAAAACAAGGCTGTCGGCTCTGTCAAGTGGCCCGTCATTCAACTATACCTCTCCTCCATGGGTGCTTGGTGGTTCTGGGCCGTTGCTCTCACAGTCTTTGGTCTACAGCAAATGTCTGGTGTCGCTACCAACTTTTGGGTGCGAGAGTGGGCTAACCAATACGTTGACGAGGAGGTCGCGCACATTGATTTCTCGACCGCATCCCACAGCTACAGCCAGCAGTCTTTGAGTCCGACCTATTTCGCCTCCATCGCTAACTACGGCAACCGTATCAGCTCCAACTTTAGTGCTTCCACCGTTGCGGACGTGAACGTGACTTACTACCTCACCGTACTCGCCATCATTGGTCTTGCTGGTTCCGTTGCTGCTTTCATCAGAGACATTTGGGTTTTCTATGGTTCTCTGACGGCATCCAAGAAGATTCACAACGACTTAATTACTAGGGTCTCTCGGGCAAAATTCAAGTTCTTCGACGTCACTCCTCTCGGCCAGCTGATGAACCGCTTCAGCAAGGACCTCGAGGCCGTGGATCAGGAGGTTGCGCCGATCGCTATTGGCGTTTTCGGTTGTGCTCTTGGAATCCTCGTTACCGTCGTCTTGATCACCATCATCACCCCCGGCTTCCTCATTGCGGGTGTTTTCATTACTGCCGCATACTACTTCGTTGGCTCGTTCTATTTGCGGGCCTCCAGAGATCTCAAGCGTCTCGAGTCCGTTCAGAGAAGCCCTCTGTTCCAGCAGTTTGGAGAGACACTCTCTGGTATGACGACCATCAGAGCTTACGGTGACGAGCGTCGCTTCATCCGAGAAAACTTGTCCAAGATTAACGTCCAGTCTCGCCCTTTCATTTATCTGTGGGCTGCCAACCGTTGGCTCGCGTTCAGAACAGATGTGCTTGGTGATACGGTCTCGTTCTTCGCTGGTGTCTTCATCATCATCAGCCTGGGCACGGGCGCCGTCGATGCTGGTTCTGCTGGTATCTCCCTCAGTTACGCCATTGGCTTCACAGAGAATGTCTTGTGGCTTATCCGCCTCTACGCCATCAACGAGCAAAACATGAACTCCGTGGAACGCATCAAGGAATACCTGGACGTTGAGCAGGAGGCCGAGCCGATTGACGAGAAGAACCGTCCTCCCAAGAACTGGCCAAGCCAAGGGTCCGTTGAGTTCATCAACTACTCTACCCGCTACCGCGCAGATTTGGACCCTGTCTTGCGGGGTCTCAGCTTCAAGATCAACCCCAGGGAGAAAGTTGGCATCGTTGGCCGGACAGGCGCTGGCAAGAGTTCGCTGGCCCTGGCTATTTTCCGTGCTCTCGAAGCCGATGAAGGCAAGATCCTTATTGACGATATTGATGTTGGCCTGATTGGACTGCGCGATTTGCGTGAGGCCATCACCATCGTTCCCCAGGATCCCACGCTTTTCATGGGCACGATTCGCACCAACTTGGACCCCTTCGACGCGTACACGGATGAACAGATCTTTGAGGCGCTCCGTAAGGTGCAGCTTATCAGCCCCAACGAGTCGACTTCTAGACCGGCGACCAGACCGACTACGCCATCAGCCGGATCGATTCTGCCTGCCACCCCTAACCTGGGTCTCATTCAGGGTGATTCGAACGACAGCCCCGGCTCCTCGATTGCGCCTACAAACAAGAACATCTTCCTCAACCTCTCGTCGACTGTGTCAGAGTCTGGTTCCAACCTGTCGCAGGGTCAGCGCCAGCTGCTCTGTCTCGCCCGCGCCCTTTTGAAGCGACCCAATGTGCTGGTGATGGACGAGGCGACAGCCTCCATCGACTACGCCACCGATACCAAAATCCAGGAGACAATCCGCGAGCTGACGAGCACCATCATCACCATCGCCCATCGCCTGCAGACTATTGTGGATTACGACAAGGTTCTCGTCTTGGACAAGGGTGCCGTTGTCGAGTATGGCCACCCGTACGAGTTGATTCGCAAAGAGAATGGCAGCTTCCGTGGCATGTGCGACATGAGTGGAGAATTACCGTCGTTGCTCAAGGCTGCCAAGAAGAAGTGGGATTCCGGGAGACTCGTTGACGTAGACGACGAGGAACAAGACACTCAATCCACACTCGTCGAGGGCGAGGCTCAAAAGGCCACCGAAGAGGCGAAGAAGAAGAGTGACGAGGAAGATAGTAAGAAGAAGGCTGAGGCCGAAGCTGAAGCAAGAAAGAGGGCAGAAGAGGATGCGAAGAAGGCGAGGGAGGCCAAAGAGGAGGCCGAGAAGGCCGAGGAAGAGTCAAAAAAGAAGAAGGCTGAAGAAGAGGCCAAGAAGAAGGCCGCAGATGAAGAGTCGAAAAAGCAGGCCGAGGAGGAAGCGAAGAGACAGGCAGATGACAAAGCCAAGGCCGACGACGAGGCCAAGAAGGCTGGCGGAGGATAAATGGGGAGAGAGGAAGAAGACTCTGGCTACTGCACAAAAGCTACTTATTCGTGTACTATTGCTTTAAGCAATCAGCGTGGGTAGGCTCGTATCTTCCAGCTTGCGCCAGCGTTGCCTGCTGTGTTTTAATAAGGGGAGGCTAGTGTCAGATTCCGTAGATACTGGAAATTTTCTTTTATATACCTAATGGTCTAATCGTCATGTTGTGTTCTGATGCCGTCAATGGGCCATCAAGTTAGGTGCCTGCTTACTTGAATATAAACGGCCCTAGTGTAGTTGCTTGAGCTCAGCAAGTCGTACGTACCTCTGGAGAAGAGAATTTTTTGCAAGCTCCAAGTCGTTAGTCAGTTCGGAGACACCCAGAATGTCTTGTTACGGGTCATGGCCGATGCTTTCTCTCTCTTGCTCAACTGAGCCAAAAGAGATTGCTTTTTTGTTTTAATTAGACACGGCTATCCAGGGATTTCCAACTTCTTTCACTGAAGAAAAGGGGGCTAGAGAGTAAAGAAAGAAGAAAAAGAAAAAAGAAAAAAGAAAAAGGATAATCGCCCACGCAGTGCTTTACTGATAGGAACTTTGCAGGGATGCCTCGTGGCGGAATCGAACCGCCGATCTTCTCATGTCACTAGGTACTAGTGAGACGCTATACCACTTAGCCAACAAGGCCTTGCTTGATGATAAAGGCCTTGTCGTACAAAATCATGAATCGTTCTGTGCACTGCGGGTTGTGGGAACCTGGCGAGATGGGAGTGGGTAAGATGGTGGATGCTGGTGTTGGGGAGTTGGGTTGGTGACGAGAAGGTCGGCTGTGATGACTGAGGGTGTTGGGGGGTGGGGGGGTGGCAGGTTCCAGGACAGAGAGATTGGGAATTAGATTCCTAATGTAGTATGAGGTTTGACGTGTTTGTGAGCTGAATTCCATCGAGTATGCGGCGTTAGTTGTCTGTTGGTGTTGTGTATTATCCAGGTCTAGGGTATAATTGCCCGCACGACGTAAGTTGTATCTGCCTCTATAGATTGAGTTGTTGAGACGCAAGACCGTGTTAAGTGTGAAGACGACACGCTGGGAGATCTTCCCAAATGGATAGGATTATCCAAGCATGATATAACGCCACGCCATGTTACTATATTGTAAACATCTACATCAAGGACTGGTCTCATAGTCTTCGAAGAGTTTCATCGTCCTTTATTTGCCTTTTGGAGCTTGGACTTGTGTGTAACCCCAAACTTCTTCCTACACGGAGTTGCCCCAATTGCATTACATCAATCCCTTTCTTTAGCGTTCGACAGGGGTTTCCCCTTATTCTTCTCAACTCATACTTCAAAGGATACACACTTCCGGTAGAGAGGAGCAGAATGAGAAAATTGAATCGTACTCAGGTTAAGTGCTGCAAGATCCAGTTGGCCTTCGTTTGGACTTTGTTCGATTCCCGTCGGTGTCGTTCAGTCTCACTGTCCAGGTCTATCTATACCGTCGGCTTGAGAGCTAAGCAGTGCCGCCCTTGCTCGTATATAAAGAACCCATACTCAGACGATATCATGGCTCCTGAGTCGGCGCCGCAGGGTCTGCCCAACAGCCAAGGTTCATTGGTCTCTGCCCGTAATTTCAAGGTGTGTCCGGCTGCCGAACAATGGTTGAAGGGTTTGAGATCATTGGACCATAGGAAGTAGCAAGTTCTGGCGTGATGGGAAACCTGGCCGAGGCCCGATTTTCACGTCTCCAACACATACGTACCCCTAACGAGTGATGGGAGATTTACATGTTGACTAAATAAGAAACCCTAAATCCATAAAGTCTTTGCTTCAAGTTGCTTGGCGGTTGGATCTATTCGAGTGACCTACTTTCTATTCGGATTGCGTTTCCAGCAAAAGGTCTTTTGTCAACACAGACTCGAAACCATGGTCGACTGGTAAACTAGTAGTTCTGGGTAAACGTCCGCCATGCCTCGCGAGTGACGCCCTCGACAAATACCCTAGGTCGTGACTGCGTTATGCCGAACCTCAGCCCTCAGGCTGGGTGAATATAAATCGTTTCTAGAACGTCCACATAAGCGCAGCGTAACGTGTCAGGAATGATGGCACATTCAATCATCAGGAGGAAAAAGGTTTTTAAAAGGCGCTCTTCATTTCAACAACCCATGTACACACGCTAGCATGGTCCAAAGATAACCCCAAGGGCGTCAAATGAAAGGGGAAGTGGCTGGCTTCGTCAGTGGAGACCTGGCCTTCGTGGGAATCTCGCTTCTCGATTTTTCGCCCAGGCCGTCTCGTCCCACGAAGCACAACTTCGGAGCATGGCTTATAGATGAAAAAGACAGTCACCTGAACTGACGAATAGGTTCGCTTTTGCTATGTGGCCTTCTCCCTTCTGAAGAATTTTTGGCACAGAAAGTCAATGCTGAAATCTTGTTCATCCTCTGCTGTTCATATCGCTCTAGCTATGCCTCGTCTCACTCTTCACGGATCGACTTGGAAGCCTCTGCTGTTCTACAAGACACGGTTCTCCTTGCTTTCCTCACGCAGGCTTCTAAGCTGCGCTTGAAACTCCTTGTTGACCCACTCCCAGTAAGCGTTCCACGCCTGGCTGGCACCACCGGCATTGGCGTTGGCTGCCGCCTTGCCGGAACCGCCCTTGGCACCCTTGAGTTTGTCTCCAAGCAGGAGCGTAACTCTGAGAACGCTCTTGTTGGCTTCCTCCTGCTTCTCCACATCCTGCTTCACAGCTCCATCCTTGAGCTTGGTCGACAGGATGGCGCGGTAAGCCTCCGCGATGGAGTCAAGGCGACGAGCAGTTTCATCAGGGTCGAGGGCGATGAGCTTGGACACCATCAAGTTACAGAGACTGCGAATGTCGTTGTCATCTTTCAGACCCGCGACCACGCGATCGTAAAAGTCAATGTTGTTGATCCGCGAGAAGGCCGTCTCCATCAGAGCGTACAGGGTTTCGTACGCGCTCTGTGTTTATGGTTAGCAATAGTCTGGAACAACCTTTCGAGTTTCGCAGCAGGACATACCTTTCGGACTTCAAGACCATCATCCACCATATGTTTGAAGGGGCCCATCATGACCTCTCGGATCAACTGTGGCTTGATCACCGACTCGGTCAACACGAACGGCATCAGCTCGCCGAGGTGAGGCAGAATCAGATCAGGCTTGTTGTGCGCAGCCGAATTCAGCGTTGACATCGCCAAGCGACGGTTGTCCATCTCCGAGTCCTGCAGCATAACAAGAAGCATGTCGACGAGAACATTCTTGAGCATAGCATCGAATGCCTCGTCGCTGTCAGGCAGCGTGTATCGGACAGCCTGGACAGACATGCCTCGGATATCGGGGTTTTCATTTCTGAGAAGGGACTACATTGCTGTCAGCATGTACTCTCTCCGTCATGGAAATGTCAAACTTACCTGCAGCTGAGGCATAAAGGTCTGAGAGTCGATAATAGTCAGCCGTCCCACACATTCCGCGCACACCACTCGGTTGTCGGGAATGGTAGAGGCAGAGAGAAGATGCTGCCAGATGTCGGCCGCGAACTTTGAAACCTCGGCGGAAAGAACAGTTACTTGCTGCAAGATCTCCTTGATTGATTGGATAAGCAAGTACTGTGTGTTACCACCCTTCTGCATGGTTGCCAGAATGACTGGGAGGTACTCAGAGACATTGCCAGAGCCAGCACGGCCAAGTGCCACAGCGGCTGAAATGGAGACTTTGTCGGGCTCATCGTGGAATTGTTGCAAGAACAGATCCGCCTTCAACGGCGAGTTGGCTCCAAGACGGAGGCCAGCCTCACCAAGAACCGCAAGTGCCAAGCTCAAGCGAGCGTCATCCTTATTCCTAGAACTAGTTTGCAACTCGGAAATGAAGCTCTCGACGGTGACACCAGCCGAGCTTCCACTGGCCACAAGAAGTGCCCCGATGACCTTGCCCACGACAACGGGGTCTCCATCGATACTAACGTCTTTGAGAAGGCCTTGCATGAGAGGCTGGCCAGCACCGCTCTCACCAACTTTCGTGACGAGAATGAGAATCTGGTCCAAGACGATGCCGGCGTAGCTCGACTTGAGAAGACTGCAGATAGTAGCAGTCATTGACTGCGTCACCACGAGGTCTGCATTTTCCTCGACGAGGGTCGCGAGAATGAGCAAGGCCGGTGCCAGCAGGTGAGTGTCGTTATTGCTAATAACAGGTACCAACGAGGAGACCAGGCCCTGAATAGTGTCCGCGTCCAGTTGGCCTCTGGCAGTCGGCGACACAACCAAGTGCTTCAGTGCGAGGACGCTAGAACCGCGAAGAGCCCGGTTAGCCTTGCGGAGTTGTCCCGCCAGCTCCAAAGCGACCTCCCGGATCCACGACGTCTCGAGCTGACCACTGCTTGTGCTGAAAGCCGCGACGTCATCGACAGCTCTAACGGCGGCAAGGCGAGTAGTCTCGTTCTTGAGGCGGTCGAGAAGTGCGGCCAAGGCAGCCTGTCGCTTCTCCGCGGGAATCAGGCCATTTCCATCGGCACCGGATGTTCTAGACAGCAAGACTCCCAAAGCGTGGATACCACGCTGCTTGACTTCGGCGTCAGCGTCAGTTGCGGTGATTCTGTCCATAATGGTGTCAAAAAGCTTCTGGAGTTCGCCCTTGAACTTCTGCGCTGTCATCTTGGACCGAGGGGGAGTGATTGCCTTCACCAACTCCTCAATCGTCCCGATGGCTTCACTTGAAATCTTGTAGAATCGATCGTTTGCTGCCGAAATCACACCAGCCACTATCTTGGTAAGATACGGCTGCAAAAGACTCGACGAGTGGGTCTTGGCAATATCGCTGGTGAGTTTAAGGGCGGCAACACGCAGAGTGCTGGGTGTCGCGGACGCATTTCCACCAGAGGCAGCTAGAGACGAGGCAAGCGCCGAAGCCCCGGTGGGTTTAATAGACTCAATGATGGGGCTGATGGCGTCGTTGAAGTAGTTGGAAAGACCACCTCGCTGGACGGTGATGATATCATCAAGGAGATTGATAATGGCCTGCTTGGTGGGAATGACCTTGCCTTTGAGCAGCTTAGTGGAAGCCTTCACAATCGTCGGGGTGAAGCGAGCCAGATCTGCGCGGGGTCCAGATGAAGGGATTCTTTCGAGGGTCGGGGATGTCAGACCCGTGGCAACATGGGGGGTGTTCATAGAACCGCCGCCGCTGCTCTGCCGTCTGCGTTTTCTGCTGATAGGAATCGAGCTAGGCGCCTCTGGCTCTTGGTCGTCCAGTGAGAGATCTGTGGGATACATGCCCTCGCCAGTCTTGCGCACAAGGAGAGACAAGCACGAAATGACCTCGAGGCGTACGTTTTCCTCTCTCTCATCGAACCTCTTCACCAAAGTAGGCCCTGCTTGGCTGTAGAGAACACCATTCTCTAACAAATCACCACTTCCGCGGGTTGAGATGAGAGTGTAAAGAGCCTTAGCGGCACAGCGACGGACCTTCCAGCTTGCGTCGTCATCGTCGTCAAAGCCAGCATCATCTTCAAACTCGTCATCTGCATCCTCCTCATCTTCCTCGTCATCAACGTCCATATCTTCGTCGTCGTCGCCCATTGCGTAGTTGGGGTCGTATTTGAGATATCGGAGAGTTGCTTTGATGGTGTCGTCGGTAAATGGGCGCATCTCCGTCGGGCAGGCCGCGAGGAATGACTCCAGTGCCACGAGGGCGGACTCTCGCACTTCATTGAATTCCTGACCAATGTCGTCTCCGTCGCTAATCTCCTCCAGGTGCTTCTCAAGCTCACCCTCACTAAGAGCTTGGAGAATAAAGGGCACCAGAGACTTCAGGTATGAGCCGAAGCGGGCGGGGATCGATCTCGCCAACGAGCCGGTGATGGAAATGTATAGCCGACGGGTGACAGCAGAGATTTCAGACTTTTTCAAGTCGTTTTCCATGCGCTCGACCATCTGGCTGAGTAAAGCGTCCGACAAATGAACAGCAAGTATCGAAATGGCCACCACAGCCCTCTTCTTCACGACTGACGACGTCTTGTCGTTCTCAAGCAGGGTGATGACCGCATCTTGCATCGCCTCAACCTCAAGGGGCGAAAGCATGACGCCGAAGCACCTGACGACCTCAATGAGGATGTCCACCGATTCTGCGCTCAGGTCTTTGTCCACCTTAAGGAGACCTTGCGGTACGGGCGGCAACTGGATGTTGTTTGAAGGGTTCTGTGGCTGAACTTTGCCGCCGGGTCCCAGAAGCCGCGGGATCAGAACACGACTGACGGCTTGGTATGATTCCTGCACGTCCTTGGTGGGCGGCAAGCCAGGTGTAGGTTTCGGGAGGGCCATAATGACAGCGCGCAGGGCGAGCGATGGAACAGCATTGTCAACCGAGTTCTTCAGCTTGATTGCAGAGAGTTTCTCAATCATCGGCGCGATAATCGGGGTCGGTACTTTCATGACCAGAGGTCCGAGACTGCAGCGGGAAACGGGTCAGCCCTATCCGTTGCTCGGTTGGAGGATCAAGAACGGTCGGGAATCTGGGAAGGGGAGTGGAGTTCGCACCATTTGATCGCCAAGTTCTGCACCTCTCCATTCTGGTCGTCGAGCGCCTTGATGATGCTATCAACCGTACGCGCGGCTACGTTGTAGTCGTGGTGCAGGAAGTCAGGCTTGCCGTTTGCCAGGACCTGGAGTAGATCGTTGAGCGACATGAACCGGAAATCCGGGTCTGCATCTCCCAGCTTCTGCACGAGCTGGATCACCGTCTGGGGCGTCGGGTTCGCGGGGACGCTTGAGGAAGCCATCTTGGATTGTCTCGTCTGGCGCGGTTTGCAGGGTGGAGGGAAAGTCGAGGTGAAGAGGATGTCGCAGCGAGTGGCGTGTTAGCGGGATTCGGTGGCTCTGACCATGCAGAGGAAGAGGAAAAAGAAGATCAACCGTCCCGCGAGAAATGGAGAGATGGCGGAAGACACGAGGCGTATCGGGGAGCAAATTGGGTGGTTGTTTGATGTGTGAGTTTGGTTCACGACAACAGAGACCCTCGTGAAAGAGGCGTTGGTGGTAGTGGGGTTACAGGTTCAGAGCTCCAGGCAGGAAAGACGTCGTTGGACGGGATTACCTTAGTCAATGAAAGGTCCCTCAATGCTACCGGTACGTCTTGCCCCGCGAAAGCGGACCCCCACCACTGTGCCTGCTCGTAATGAACTCCACCGGCTGGAGAGCATCCCCTGAGGTGTTGAACCGTCCTTGCCAGCTGCCCGGGCTCCGATAAGTTATTCCGGTTAGGATATTAGATAAGCATCGAAGCTCTCCCCATCTCGCCATATCGGGATCTGTCTGCCCGCCCTGTGCGGGACCCACCCCGGCAATGTCGTCACCACGAGCTGTGGGGAACCAGCCACCCCGGCATCTGGAACCATCCAGCCTCTTCCCAACCATTGGCCGATTGCTCTCGAAGCTTATTGCTGGTGCTAGCTCGCAGCTCCGAGCTCTAAACTTCGGACGGCAGGCCAGCACAACAGGCCCTGAGGCCCTGGCCAGACCAAGACCAAGACCACGACCAAGGTCCAAGGGCCAAGCCACCCAATCCAACCCCAGCTTTTTCGTCTGCTTCCCTCCAGCGGCCCAGCGGGTTTTTCTCGTGTCATTTTCTTGATTTTCGTCTCCTTATATCTTTCCAAAGACACTTGCAACTGTTTCAATTGGTCTACCTGCCTGCCATTGATCTTTCCAAGCTTCACTCTTTGTTCGATCACCACATAGCGACTTGAGCATTCCTTGCGTTGAATCCTCCCCCCCTTCTCACTTTCACAATGTCCTTCGCCAGAGCCGCTTCCCTGCGTTCCGCCCTCCGATTCTCGGCGCGCCGGACGATCCGTACCCAGTTCCGTTCCCAGATCGCCCAGAGGACGTACGCCAGCCAACATGGCGCGAAGCCCCAGAGCGAGCTCCCTCTGTAAGCACGAATTTTCTTTCCCTTTATACATCCCATATTTTCTCCAGTCCGAGACACCAATTGGCTCTTTCAATCGGCCCTCTCTCCGTGGACTACGGGCTGTCCCATACAGGTACTTCGTTGATGAACGTACGACTGACTGGGGTTCTTGTACAACAGGGCCATTGGCTCGGTAGTCTTCTTCGTTGCGGGTCTGGCGGTCATCCAGCCGTGGAGCGCTCCCGCGCCGTCCAAGGGTCACGATGCTCACGCCAAGCACGATGAGGAGAAGCACGATGAGCCTGAGGAGAAGGAAGAGGAGCCTGAGTCCGAGGAGAAGGAAGGGTCCAAGTCTGAAGAGAAAGAGGATGACAAGTCTGAGGAGAAGAAAGACGACAAGTCTGAGGAGAAGGAGGAAAAGAAATCTGGCGACTCCGAGGACAAGCCTAAAGAGGAGAAGAAGGAAGAGTCCAAGGACGAGAAGAAGGGCCAGGACAAGAAGGAGGAAAAGTCGGCGGAGAAATCTGAGGACAAGAAGGAAGAGAAATCCGAGGACAAGGAGGAAGACTCCAAGGACGAGAAGGAGGACGAGGACAAGAAGGAGGACAACTAAACCTCCCGCACCTCACCACCAACCAACCCCTGACACGATCATGGTTCCCTAAACGCCCCCCTAATCGACACAAATCATGGTCAATGTACAAAAAAGCAGCAAAGTTATCTCTTGCTCTTCACACTTGTTGTTCTAATGCATAATAAAGCATGCCAGCTCTGTACTTCATCTCGCGTTAACCCCCCCGATGCCAACTTTTGGGGCTCCATTGCTGTCCTCACCAAAAGTTGGAAATGGCAATCGCAGACGAGCAAAATTCAATATGATTATAGTAGCAGGCAATCGATAGAGTCTCATATTTCTCGCGTAGTCTTTCCCTGTATGTACATATACTACGTCCATCGTTTATAACCTCGCCGTCGGCTGCCGACTGTTGTTTGACCTCTGAGAACGCCAAACGCAAAGGGAAACCCATCCTGCTTTGGGGTATCAAGAAAAAAAAAGAACCAAAACCAAAGCCGACCCCCGAAGAATGGAAAGTCCACGTTTTCATGATGATCATCCACGACGGCCAATTATATATGCACAAAGGACTTCTTTCTCCTCTTCTTCTTCCTCGTCCTCCCTCTGACCGCATCAAAGCTTCTTCATGGCCTCGATGATTGACCAGTGGACTGAAGCTCAATGGGGCCACTCACGTGAGTTTTCTTTGTGCCGCCCAACCACCTCGTCGCCACAGAAAGGCGTGGCTTTTTTGTTGGCTCTGATAAATTGAGCTCTGGGTCCGCAATAATGGTTTTCTCAACTGGGGGCGTGGAAGACCTGGCGGCCGACTCGTCCCTCGACCTTCGAGACTGCCGCGCCTGGTAAAACAAAGGTCGGGCAGTTGAGTGACTTGGCCTAGGTGCATCGTCCAGAACGGAGGGCTGCTCTTCGGTATGGCCAAAGGCCGAATTCGTCTTGCTGCTGATAACTTCCAACATCGTTCCAGAGGTGTCTCCATGGCCAACTTCGACCCCCTCGGTCGCGTCGTTCGCATTGTAGGCCTTCCTCTCAAGGCGTTGCATGATATCCACATCGCTCGGCCAGTACACGCGGCGTACGGCGTCGACGATCAACTCCAGGCAAATAACGGTTGCAAGCGCCAGCAGAATGGTGGTCCAGAAGCTCAAGGTTTTACCAAAATGTTCCAGGAACGCGTGCCGAATCTGATAGATGCGCAAGATGGGCCGGAAAGCTGCTGATAGGATGATGTTCCACAAGAACCAACCGCCGACCGAGATGAGAAACCCGGCCAGGATGATTACGTTCTTGTTTTCCATTTCAAGAACCCTAGACTCGTTAGGAAAATACCAGATACAGTATCCCGTCAAAGAACTTACAGCAACTTGATGTTGATGAACACCACGATGACCGTAAAAGGAACGCTTCCCATAGCATAGAGGGACGTGTCCTGGTCGAACGGCAGCGAGTTGTAGACCGCCCAGGCCACCCAAAAGATGATGAGCGACTCAATCAGCCCGAGGAATGTCCAGCCAATGTAGAGCTTAACGTTGAAAGCTCTGTTCTTGTGGCCAAAGGTGTAGAGTTCGGGGAATTCGAGGAGCGTCTTTGCTTGCAAATCCTTTTCCAAACCACCCAAAAGGATAACCGCGAGTGACGTGAAGAAGGTGTTAAACACCGTCAAACTCCAATTCTCGTACAGAGACGTTCCGGTGTATCCCGTGTAACGCTGGAAGTAGGCCTGTGGTAGAAAGAAGACGATTTCCTTCCAAAAGGTGGCGAGTACGTATCTGCCAGTCCTCAGGTAGTTCCAGCGGCCGTGGACGAAGAGGAGACGCTGCAAGAAACGGAATTGCGCAATGGCGTAGTCGGAAATGCGGGCAGCTTGAAGACCTTCGCGGCCCGAGATGCCAATACCAACATGTGAGGCTTGGATCATGCCAATGTCGTTGGCGCCGTCACCAATGGCCAATGTCAGGGAGTGTGGTACCTGCCGGCGGATGCGCTTGACAAGAGTAGCCTTCTGCGAGGGGGAGGCGCGGCAACAAATGACCGAGTCGACTCTCACCACAAGGTCAAAGAAAAGGAAGCTGAGGTCCTCGTCTCCCTCAATGATGCCCAAGGTATGGCCATCGACAACTACTACAGCGTGAGGAGCCATACCTCGGGCGACCTCGCCCAGGGTCGACAGTATTGACTCTAGCAAATTGCCCATTGTGGCATCCAAGATAAAGACCTCGGAAAATGGCTTGCACAGGCCGGCGGAGTGGCCGATATTGATGGCCGTCTCACGCTTGTCTCCCGTCAACATCCAAACCTTGATCTCAGCGCGACGGAGCTTCTCAATGGTCTCCGGTACGCCCTCCTGCAATCGGTCCTCGATAGCCGTGGCACCGGCAAGATCGAACTTATCCTCAATGAGTTCACCGGCAGCCTCAATCTTCTCTTGCCGATTGTCTAGGCTGGTGGTAGCGTCGTGGTAGATCTTTTTCCAAGTGTTGTAATCGTCCTCACTGATGTATCGGTAACCGTAAAGCAACGTCCGTAAGCCCTCCGAGGCGAAGTCATTGACATGTGTGAAACATCGCTCGAGAACAGTGCCTTCATTCAGGGCCACTGATTCGTCAATGAAATCGTCAATCTCATCCTCGTTCGCAGACATGGCCATGCTATGCCGTGGCGATGACCAGATTTCGTGGGCGCTCTTGGGCGAGAGAATGTCTGTCGAACCTCTGCGTGAAGTCCAGGTGTCGGGGTCGTCCGTAACGATGCTGGATCGTCTGAGAATATCACCAGAGATTCTCTGATTCATCATACTACGTCGATCTGACATTGAAGTTCTCCCAATCACGAAGCTACTGCGGGGAGTACCACTTGTGCTGAGACGTTGTTGTGCCTTCTCCCTCTCAACACTCCTACGAATCGAGGCTCTCCGGTTGACGTCGTTTGCTTTTTGTGTAGCAAGACCGCTAAGTTTGAGACGAGGCAAAATGACGTTATCAGCGCCTTTGCAGAAAACACACACTCTGCCGTCTGGCATGCGCATGATGATAGACATCCTCTTCCTTTGACTGCTGAACTCGATCACGTCTAGCACCTGATACGTTTCCCTTTTGGTGGTTCCGTCAGCTTCGGGCATTTGGAGAATGACTGACTGCGCAGGCCGGTCGATGAGGAGGTACCCGAGGTCTCGCGCAGCTTCAACCAGAGCAAGTTCATCGGGAGAGGCAGCTTGGTATTCGATCTCGCCGTCCTCCTTTGTCTCGGGTAAACACGTGTGGCAGAGAGCAATGCAGAGTAAGAACTGCTTGGCTTTTTTGGAAAAGACAGTATCCGGATTGCGTCGCAGGTAGTCGAGGAGATCTTCAGTCTTGAGCTCGGATTCCGCTTGAGGGGCCCGACTTGTAGAGCGTCCCCGTCCGTAAGTGCTAATGGATGGCCGTCCTTGTGCCGTTGCCTGTGCCGAGTAGTTGTCGTGATCGCTCGTTATCTTATCGCGGTTCTTGTCCTTGCCTTTTCCTTTGCGCTTCTTCCGAGCCATCTCAATCAACTTCTGTTTGGCATGTTCGTCCCGTTCAATGTCCATGTCGTGTAGCCATGCAGTCCCGGCGACGCTCATCTTCCTGAAGCGCATCACGTTTTCCGTCAAAGTGCCCGTCTTGTCCGAAAAGACGTAATTGACTTGTCCCAAATCTTCAAGAATCGTCGTAGTATTGGCGACCATGGGTGTGTTAGTGACCGGGTCGTACATTTCGACGTCTCCCATCATGTAGAACTGTATGATTTTGATAATTTCCAAACTGATGTACAGCGACAGAGGAATCAGCGTGTTGAACATGAGTATGAAAGCAATGAAGATCTTTCTCATGCTGACGCGTTCGCCCATGAGGTACCAGGAGGACTCGGCAGGGTCTCTCCAGAGATAGTGGCCCAACGTCAAACCGCTGCTCAGGCTGAGGAGCACAAGGATGAGCCAGACAACGATTCTGTTGAGGACGCGTTGCATGGCGGGTGCTTTTGTGCGTACGTGCTTGTGAGCATTCATTCGGATCTTGCACTCTTCACCCGTGTTCACAACGATACCGACAGCTTCTGTGGTGTTTCGAACAATGGAACCACGGTAAATGACATTGTCGAGCGACAGCGGCAACGTCTCTCCATTGACAGTGACACGCCCGTCGTACCTGTAGAGGTCCAGATTCGGATCCTCCGAAACGATGGTTGCTTGACAAGACTCGATGCCTTGCAAAGTTTGACATCTTTCAGCGAGGATGGGAGACGCTCTCTTCGCCTTCAAGTTGGTCTCTCCGTCCAAAGCCATAGTCTCGATGTAAGCGGTACCGTTGGGTCCCGACGCATGTAGGAGAACGATATCCGCCGGGATATCATCGTCGCGTTGAAGTTTGACGACGTCACCAACCTTGATATCTTGCCATTCGGTCTCGGTCCACCCATCTTCTGAATATTCATCCACGTCGCCATCCTTGTGTCTCTTCATCCTCGCTGTCGCCTTCTTAGATCGTTCGCCCAAGACCCATGCGCGACTCAAGTTTTCGGTTTTGGCCAAGAGATATCGGCGGTAATCGTCATAACCTTCCTTGGCCATTGACAATGACACAAATACGGCGAGAGGTGCAATGGTAGTCCACTGGCCAGTTGTACTGAGTCCTGGGATGGCCTGAATGATACCGACGACAAGGAAGTAGAAATTTCCCATCTTACTGAACTGGAAGAGGAGTTGCTTGGGTAGGAAGCTCCATATCGTGTATCGACTAGAACGGATGAAATTACTGACGTAGGACTTCTTGGTGCGCTCATCGATGAGATGTTCACTTCGTTTCCTTGACATGTCGAGTGGGATATGCCTTCCATCTAAGCTCGGCGGGAGCGGCTTCTGTCGCAATAATCCTTGAACAATGTAGACATTGTACGCCTTCGTGAACTGGCTGCTCACTGAGTCCTTCGCAACGCGCCATTTCGTCCTTTTTGTTGGTTCTGGTCGGTAGACTGGGTACTTGAGGTCGGAGTCTGAAGGCTGCCCGGAGCTATTGTCGCTGCCTCGTCTAGGCCGTGAAGATGAGGGCTCATCTTGTATATGACCCTCAAGATCACCCCTCGAGGGAATCGTATAGAGCGCTGGCCTATTCGCGTTCGGATGCGATGAGGCCGGGTCAAAGCTACTGCGCCTGGAGTCGTGATGGAGCTCGTCCGAGAAACGGACATGGCCGCCGTCGAGGGCGCCTTTGCTGCCCATGGGTTCGGTGATGGCTCGTCGCGGGTGGATTCGTTGCGCGGCGCGCGGCGCGGGGTTCACTGATGGCGAGGAAATGTCATGAGAATCGTTGTCACCATCGTCAGAGGAGGTTGAGTTAGACCGCGTACTCGGGGCGGGGTCGATGTCTTGATGTTGGTGTGAAGGGGCGTCGCCCAGATCTCGTATGTCCATTCTCGAGGGGGTGCGAGGCTTGATCGCTTTCTGTCTAGGCTGTACTGTGGCAGTCTCAGTCTAGCCCCCAGAAGCGCAGATCGAGGGCCGCGTTGGCGATTAATTGATCAAGGCTAGCTCGAGACTAGAGGACGGCAAAAATGGGCTTGTTCCAGACGGATCCCTTAGCAAGCGGCCCGGATTCACCAGAGTGGCTCGGCCATGAAGCTCTTCATTGGTCTCGCCTTTGTGGTGGCGGCGCGTTCCTTGCTGAATCTGGCGTGGTCCCTTGGGGTTGTGGGATTTCCAGATGTCAGGTCAGCGCAGGTGGCTAGTAAGAGCTGTACAGAAACGAATATTGCTGTTTTGTAGGACTGAAAGCATCCAAGGGAAGTACTAGGATCTGCGATTGCGGCGACGTCACGGGCGAGTATAGTGCCAAAGCAAGAGAGAGAGAGAGAGAGAGAGAGAGAGATAGAGAGAGATTGATTGTCCTCAAGGTAAGCAATGCAGAAAATTCTGATGGTATTGATGACGATGAATAGTGGTGCTGAGCAGTCAACAAGTCGAATCCAACAACTCAAAAAAAATTTGGCAGGCTGGGCGGTGCTGTATTCCCGTAAAAGGCGGACGCCGAGGGAAGCGCCGGCGGAAGGTCCCCGTAAATGGAACTAGATCGATCCTCACATCAATTGCACTCGTCAACGGTTGGCAGATTAGATAGCTACTAGATGAGCGTGTCTTGGCACTCTGTCGGCCTTCCTCCAAGAAGAGGAGCCGAAAAGGGTGCAGCGCACAGAGCTGCGCCGCCTTTCGATACGCAACATGGACGACGATGAGGCGCTTGGCAAAAAGTCAAGATTATCAGCCCGTTGCTCACTGGTGAGTGGTGAGAAGTGGGAATACCTGGACATAATGGAGCTCCCCCAATCAGCAGAGAAAGGTGAGCCTCGGGGTGGGAGGAGGAGTCAGGATTGCTCTCCGATGCAGCTTGGCGCCTCTTGTGCACTGCCACGGTCATTTTTGCCCGGTGTGCTTGCGAGGGAGGATTCGTACGAATAGACAGACAACCCGCACGACGGCTCACACTCCACGCGCTCGCCCGCGGTTCGCGGAGGTGAGGCAGGTTGGTTGGATGATGGATCCATGGATCCGTGGGACCATCGCGGTCGGCAGGTCACGCGCGAGAAAAACCACACGAGCGAATGAGGAACCACGAAGAAGAGACTTTCTTCTCGCAAGGACGAGGGGGGGAAGCAGCATGGAGAAAATAGAAAGCCCCGTCTTGCGACTGGCAGTAACCTGGAACCCAATGGTCGTGCCCCCGCATTGAGGACGTCATTGGGGACGTCATTGGGCAAGCCGCAAGCCGCAAGCCGCAAGAGGAGGGATGCAATTGCTAAAGTGCGAGGAAGCAGGAGCCAACATGAGGTGCTGTCGTGCTGTGTACCTTAAGGTGCCTTACGTACCGACATATCCGCCCATCTCCAAACACAAAAAAACGACCCGCTCCGCCTACGGTCCCCTACCTTACTTTATGACTGCTACGGACCGTGGAGTCTGGACCGCGGACCGTGGACATCGGAAGCTGCGGACGATGTTGGGAAAAAGTTTCCATCGCCCCTCCGTCGACAACAAGTCTTCCAACAACCATGCGTTTGATAGGAAAGCAGCGAAGTCGCTCATAGCATCCACTCACACCTGTCACGACTCGCTGCCCCAACTCACACCATCTCACGTGAGCTTAACTACACACAACAAACTACTCAGAGACCCCGTCGTCGTCCTTCAGACGAACGTGGCCGATGGCTGGGTAGCCTGCAGGGAGTCACAGGGAACTACCCAGCTCATGTATTCGTAGTGAGAAAAGAGAGAAAGAGAGAAAGAGAGAGAGAGAGAGAGAGAGAGACATAAAGACACACGACCCGATCGCGACAGCAAAATTATTAGAGTTCCCCGTATCCGCCTGCATTTCCTACCCGCAAGGTGCCACGGCCCACGGCCCACAGGCCCTCCATGAGTCCCTCCCCCTTCCGCTCCGGCGTTCAGGAAAGCAACGCCATCTCATCTCATTTTCATCCCTTGATGCCTGCAGCCTGGCTCTCGTTATCAAAGAGTCAAAGGTCGGCAATATCCCGACCGCCGGAAATCTCCGTCTCCGTTCATATTAATCAAGACACATCATTGAAGTCCCACGATGCCTTTGAAATCTCCCGTCGGATCCGCATTCTGAGAAAGTTTATGAGAAAAGGAAAAAAAGGAAAAAGAAAAGGGAAAAAAAACTCAAACCCAAGAGGAGGAAAGGCAGAAACCACCTCACGAACTGCGTTCTGTGCTACAAGTAGAGAGCAAGTGCCCAGACAACCCAAATCAAGACAACCTCGCCCAGCTGAGAGGTACACGGAGCGTCGTCCATCAAAGCCCCTCAGACCTCGTGTTAGCGGGCCGCCGCCTCGCCCGCCATATGCACCCCAAGCACCACACATCCCCGGCTCTCCAGGCCGCGCTCGCGCGGCGCCAACGTCCTGTGGTGAGCTAAGCTAATAATGATGGACGGGTTAGGCAGTTGGTCAACACCACACATCAGCCGACCAGTCGAGACCTCACGCTAATACTCTTCTCCTTGGTCTTGCACGTTGATCGACGTCCCGCGTTCAGACTCTCATCAATGCTGTGTACAGCAATACGCAGTATCGCTACTAGTCGGTCAAGTAGATGGTCACCTAGTGTCTCGAACATTTGAACAGAGCGACAGCCTCAAAAGCTTTCGTAAGACTGTGCCGAAAACATAACCTCACGTAATCTGCCCAAGCCTACCCTGCTGCGCGACAGAGCACACGGCCACGAAGGCCACCCCCAGTCGCTCAAGGTAGATCAGATCCTCTTCAGCCTTACCCGCACACCTCACCACACCTCACGAGAGACACATCAGACAAAACTTCTCAAAATGGGGTGCAACTGGAGATGTTAATGCCCACGCAAGCCACGTTACGTATCTGCCCTGTAAAACAGACCCGATTCTCCATTCTACAGTTGGGCTTCATTGTCGATGCCGTTCCGCTCACTCAGTGGCAAATTCATGGTTGTGCCCTCTTTTTGCAAAAGCCACTGTGTTAGCCTCGTTCCCCAATCCAACTATGCAATCCTGCTTCGTAGACTGTTGCAACCCAAAAACGACACAGCAAGAGTACGTTCTAATTAGTCAATTCTCACAACGGGTCCTGCGGGGTTTTGCAGGTAACATCAGTTCACTATCACATTCAAGTTAATGAAGATGGAGTCTTCACCGGACAGTCGTGGAGAGTTGATCACTAGCCGCGAATCATTCAAGTCACATCACATGCGTGGAATGAATATGAAAGTGGGAAAACAGGGATTCGATGCCCATCTGTCTCTCAACTCGATCGTCAATGCTTACAGGCCAGCCGCCTCTCTCGAGTAGCAGCTGGCCAAGCCTCTCGCTGCTCGGTCACCGGAGCAGCATCCCATTACCACCCTCGGTGCCGGCATACAACATAAAAGCCACAAAGCCCCTGCTCCCACGACCCATCCAATCAAGAAAATACCCAACAGTATAGGTAAACAAGTAGTGTGTCTGAGAGAGTTGTATATCCTCAAAAAAAAATGTGTGGCTGATTACGAACCAGGAAAATCCCAAGCCACCTGGGCTTTTCCCCATTTTCATCCTCCAAACCCCGCAGCCAGGACATCTGAAATTCATGAACGATGACAGATAAAAAAAATCAACGACAGCAATGTGCAGCGCAAGCCAACCAAGATAGAAAGGAATGTTATTAGGGGCTACGCCGTCGTCTCTGCGAGGTAGGCGTGGCTAAAGGACTAGTTTTGGTGATGGATTGGGCACGATGAGATGCCCACCCTCGTACCGGAAGCCGGTTTTGTTCGCGACAAGTAAATGACTCGAAGGGTGAAATAAATCCAAAAAGTGCAAAGGTACGATCGCCTGTGCCGGACATGCATGATCGAGATTCCGAATAGAGGTATCGTCATGCAGAGTCGTCGTGGCCGATAGATGATGTTGTAGCAAGAACTGAATCAAACATCGTTGTCATCGGTGTTTAAAGTAGACCAAGCGCCACCCATCTGGTATATGTCGAGCGCCTCAAACGCCAGCTGTGAATGACCAAGGCAAGCAACTCCTCTCTCCTCAGTAAACCTTTGGAGAGCACGCCCCAAGTTTGTATGTACGCCGTGTCCTACTGAAAGGACCCCAATCTTCGTCCTGTCATGTTCAGGCACGGTAGGCCGAGGTCAGGAATCAGTGGGGTGTATGGTGCATGGACTCGGGGGACATCGAGTTGGGGTCGACATGGTCAAACTGGACCAGTTGGTTCATGTCGAGATCGTTGTGGCCCTGCTCAACGTACGCAGGTGAATGAGGGTGCATTGGCAGGTTGATGGTGTGCTTGGAATACATCTCGTTCAGGCCAGTGCCGTCGTCAGACACAGCACATGAGCCGTTGTCGCCTTGCTGGTAGATATCAGCGGAAGCTGACCTGCCGAGCATGGAGAGCGGAGGCGACTGCTCAACAATGGACGGCTCTCCGTGGTGGCTGGCGAACGACAGGGGAGATACAGAGGGCGGGATCATGCTCGGTGACGGGTGCGCCATGGGGGAGAGGAAGGCACTGCCGTACGGGGTGTTGTAGCTGGAGGCAGCCGGGAGAGGGCTCGGCTCAGGGCCCTGAGAGAAGAAGTTGGGGCTCGTTGGGAACTCGGATGGAGAAGCGGTGGTGGCAGACATAGGGTACTGTCGCATATCCAGACCGAATCCGGCTTGAGTGTCGATTCTCAAGTTCGGGCCCAGTCCGCCCGGCTGCTGGGGAATCGGGGCGTAGATGTTAGGGCCAGGTGTCTGAGGAGCGGCCATCTCACCCGGCTGCTGGATGTAGAAGGATGGCATGGGCGTTTGGAGCATCGAGAAGTCCACGGCCATAGGCACGGAGCGACTGCGCTGTCTTTTGTGGCCAGGCCCGCGCATGCCGGGATGCATGTGGTTGATGCCCCAAGACTCCTGGAACATGCCGACGTGCGGCTGGGCGAAGTTGGGCTGAGATGAAGGGCGTCCGGTGGGGGACACGGGAGCCGACATTGACAGGGCGTGCTGCTGGTCAATGAAGGGGTGCGGGTTGTTGCGGTTCATAAAGGCCTCCAAGGAAACAAGCTTGGCCAACTGACCGCTGAGAACCTTGGGGTTGCCACCGAGGTGATGAACCAAGCAATGAGAGGCCTGCTGATCCTCGGTGAAGTCACCGCACTGGAAGAATCCACTGGCCTGAGGAGAGGAGTCCATGAAGAAGTTGGGGGCCCGGTTCAGCTCGATGACGATGCCACCCGGCTTATTGGGGTCACCCTCCTGGTTCTCAAGGAAGATATTCTTGATGTAAGCAAAGGGATACTCAATCTTGTAGCCCGCCTGCTCATTATTGATGTAGTAGGTCATTGTGCACTTGTCGGGGGAGTAGAAGATGATGAGATCCATCGTGTTCTGGCCCACACGAGTCCACTTTCCAATGCTCAGAGAGCGGCAGGTGAGATGATGGATCACTGAAAGTGTTAGTGCTGGTCGCATCCACAGATTCATCTAGTACTTCTATGACTTACAAACTTTGCCCTGGCCGTTCTGGTCGCCGCCTAGGAGCATGTTGTTGTGGCCGTAGGGAAGAAGACCGGTCCGGCCGAGGAAGGGGCCGCCAAGGCCTTTGCCAGACTCCATCGCCTGCATAGCGAGGTAGGCTCGCATAGACTCGGGGATCGAATCAATGTCTTCGCCAGTCTCGAGGCTCTTTTTGGCCAAAAGCTTGATCTTGGCACGTCTGTTGGAAGTCTTAGTAGTGGTCCTAGGGTCCAAGCTGCATGAGCGAGGGATAGTAGGGCGTACCTGTTCTGGAACCAGATCTGAACAGACCTTTCGGTCATGTTGATCTCTTCTGCTATCCGCTCACGAACGGTGGCAGTGGGGGTTGGGTTCTTGTTGAATTCCACCTCCAAAGTCGTCAACTGGTCCTGAGTTGCGCGTTGTCTCTTTTGGTTCTTTTGCTGTTGGGTCAGGGTGCTCTTGCGCGGCGGGCGCCTTGATTGCGAAGAGGGAGGCTGTCCATTGTGGGTGGAGGTGGAGGGTGAGGGTGTCTGGTCCATCTTGTTGGCGGATGTGGGAGAGACATCTTGAGGGGTTGATGAGCCCGGTGTCGAGACTTGCTGGGTAAGGCCCACGGGGTTTTCGACCTCGTTAGCCATATCTTCTTTTTTTTTTCTCCAAGTCCTATTTTCGGTGAGAAAGAAGTCGATGAGGTGATCGCTCGTGATGGGGTGCGATGGTTGATCGGGGGCGGATGTTCTCGAGGTGAGGAGTCTCGGTATTAGTCGCGTCCAGGAGGTAATCGGGATGTCGAGGGATTCGGTTTCTCACGGAAACGCGTACAGGCGGTACTAGGTGAAATAAGGTGATAACAAGTATGTTGCTGTGAGGCTAGGGAAGGTATAGAATGAGCTGTGAGGCAAAAGATGCTAATGAGCGTGGTCTCTGATCCAACAGGGGGAACAGGAGGTGAGATTTGGGTGAATAGTGTCGTTGGTTCGCGAAGAACGAATGTGTGTAATTCAACCAGACGGGAAGGAACGTAATGGGAATACCCGGAAAGGAGTGACGGGATTCAGAAGCTGAGATGGTTGAATTATTTCAAGAGAGTGACTGTGAAAAGGAAAAAAGGGGAGTGGGGGAAGAGGAATTGGAGGGAAGGGATTGTCGTGAACGACGAGGATGACGATGAGGAGATGGGATGAGAAAGGACACAAGGAGGGATGGGGGCAAGAGAGGAGAAAAAGGAAAAGGAGTGGACGGGCGCGAGGCGGAGGGCTCCAGAAAAAAAAAAAAAAAAAAAAAGGGAACAGACGAACGAGCAAACGAACGAACGAACCGGCGCCAGTCCACCCTGTCCTGTCTCCTCCTCCGTCTGTAAGGTACCTTACCTTGGACTCGCCTTAGTCCAAGGAGTCCCTTTTTGCTGCTCACCATTCGTTACGCCTCTGGACACACCCACTCCTCTGCCGCCTAGGTCCTTGCAAGTTGTACTCCCATTCTCTCTTACCTCCTCGCAGTCTACTGTCTAGGGCTCCTCGCTGGGAATTGAATGGACTACCCCAGGGTCGGGAGGTGTGAGGCATGTGGGTTGCGGATGGGCGAGGGACGAGGGTGTGAGGCGAGTCGAGTTGGAGTGAGGTGAGGCGTGTGAATGTGGATCTTGGGACGACAGGGGGCGAGGGAAGACCGGACGTGGGACGTGGGATGTGCAGCGGCGGCTCAGCAGCCAGTGGTGTGTGCGGTCTGCGGCCTGCGGGATGGGCATGATGGGGATGGATGGGACCGTTGACTCTTGATGGGAAAAGGCACCAGTTCGATACGGAGCGACGAGAGGAGTCGGGTCCGGCACATCAAAAACGTGCGCTTGAGGGATAGGCTACGGATGTACCTCCGTAATTCCGTAACCTTCCCCCTCCCCCCCTTTTCGACAAGCAGGGTTTGGGGCATCTCTCTTTCCCTTTCTCTCTCTCTCTCTCTCTCTCTCGGTGCAGTGTGTGAGTGTCCACTGTGTTGTGGATGAAGCGCGAATGGGTGTGTGTGGATGGGGCACAGGGGAAAGACAAAAAAAAAACTGTGAAAGCCAGACGCGGCGGACGTGGATGTGGATGTGGACGTTGACGGGGGACGAGGACCGGGGCTGGACGTACGTGTAGTCGTGTACATAGCACAGGCGACACCACCATCGACCAGTGGCCACAATGACCAAGGTAGATGGGCAGGGGTAGTGCCAGGTACGCGCTGTCTCTCATTGGTCAAGAAAAGCCACTTTACCGTTCGTACCTGCGACCGATGAACGGAACGTGTCCCAGGCTGGGAAACCTTGCCCCAAGCGGCTTTAGCGGCGTGTTCCCCCAGTTTAGCCTTTACTGACCTTCTCTCGCGCTTCCAGTTTGCCTCCTGCGCACCTCTCTCCCGTCTCTCCCTCTCCTTTCCTCTCCTTGGCTGAGTGCGGAGGTAGCTCCAGGATTTGTGCACCGTAAGGATACCTCTGTGTGTGTGTGCGTTGTCGAGCTGTTCCTGCGTCCTGCGCCTCACCTCATGCATCCATATTCCCAACACAGATCCAGACCAGCCAGACCAGTCTCGTCTCTCCGCTCCAACACACCGCCGCAACGCCGCGCGCCGCCGTTGGTTCTTCGGGGCTGCTGATAGGAGGTGCACCATCGCACCCCCCATGGCCCTGCTCGTTCCTGCAGTTCCTTGCCTTGTTGATGCTGGGCTGCTGCTTGTACCCAGTGGCCGTCGAGGGAAAGGTGGGGGAGCAGAAACATGCAGCGGCCGAGGAGAGACCACACACGACAAAAGGGAGGCATATCCTAGCAAGCGGGAAGCCAAAAGGGAGACCGGCAAGTGCCTCTCTTGTTGGGTTCGCGCCCGATGGACGCTTTGAATCGAGTCGCGCGGCATCCGTCGAAACCTGGGCGCCGATAAACACGCAGCAATAACCTGCTTGTCCGGATACTCAGCAAAGATGTCCATTATTTCCTAAGGTACCTCGTGTCAGATGCCAGGCCAGTCGCTCAGGTATCAACAACGCCTAGCCAGTGGCCAGTATTGTCTACGGAGTGTAGAGTACCGTACGGATATAGACAGACACTTCCTTGTGTGTTGCGGCTGGAGATGTTGCATAATAGTAAGCATGAGGTAACTGGTGAAAGGGCGCGTCATCCGGGCAAGTCTCTGGATGGACTGCGCAGTAAGCTAATGTCGCCTATCGTTCTGTTCCTCGCCGTCCTGTCGAACACCAGACGCTGTGGGTCGCGGGCCATGAGCCACGGCCGAGGACTGAGGCAAAAGAAGATAGTTCCAGAATGTGTCGCGTTATCCGCCAAAATGGTCGTACCCTTCTGAGGGGAGACAAGAGGTCTCCATCCCTTTTTGGGGGCCGTCAGAGAAAATCACGGCCGATGTTTGATGCGCGTTGCATCAGCATCTGTGGAAGCGAGTGCGGATCCCCCTCACGCTGTCAGCCTGTCACCACCGCCATCCGCATCCTCGCTCCGTTGATCGCCCTACGGATAGAAGGCTGTGCCTTGAGGCTTGATCCTGTCGATTCTGGCATTCTACCGGGAAAGGGAGGCACAAGAGCCGGACGGTGGGACGATGAACGGAAGGTCCAAGGAGTGACGTTCAGCATGATTTGGAAAGGAAAGTCCCTGTCCATACGTCTGGGCGCGACTGTGGCTGATGAGACTGTGTGGGTCCGGGATGGGGCAAGCAGTGACCTGGAGCACAGATGCATGGGCGGGGTCTTTTTGGTTCCGTCCTCAGGCACAGGGGTAGCTGGCGAGGTACGTAACTAGTTAAGGGACGCAGGCATCAGCAGACAGATGGAAGCTCAGGAAAGGGGAAGGGAGAAATGGAATCAATCTTCGTCCAAAGAACAAAGAACATTGGACTCTGAATTTTGAATAGAGGTTATGGTACCGATAGACAACACGAACAACTTCAGAGCAAGAAACTAGCCGGATAACTTGTTTTCGAATCACTCGGTCCGGGGCTGTTGTCATGCCAAAAATGGTACTAAACGACGCCGAAATATTCGTACGTAGTAGCCGCAAAGCCACGGCCGTCGTATCAGTGCTGTTTGAGCAGGGGCTTGTTCCCGTACGTTATGTACCGTGGAGTTCTCTGTTCTCACCTGGCATGCGTCCCTTACCTAGGTAAGGTACGGAGAGCGAAGGATAAGGATACTTCCTCTTGTTCGAGAGTCGAGACCGTCCAATGCAGTCGAACTTTCTGCCATCCATCCATCCATTGATCCTACGTCGTCAAGATCGTCCAAAGTCTAAAGCCCACGAATCCCAGCCGTGACCTCGTCCCGACATAAAGGTAGGGTACTATAATGTGGTTTGTTATGCATTCTCATGGCACTTTATCCCGCCAATCCATCGCATCCTTCCTACCCTACTCCATCCCTTCCCGCATTTTCCATCCACTTGCCCTTCTGGGCTGTCTCGCGTTGCCGTTACATGTCGGCATGCTGGGGGTTGCCCACCTCGGCGTGCTTGGGTAACCTTCCTTCCTCCGTACTGTGCAGGTTAGCTAAGGTAAGATAGTATCCTGGAACCAGACTCTCAAGTCCTCGAGACGGAGGAGGCAGCGAAGTGATCTCATGGGTTAAGCCGCAAAGTATCCATACCTTACCTACCTTACCTTACTAAGGTTAAGTGCCTTGAAGAGAGAGGCCCGCAACGATTCGTTCACAGTGCCCGGCTTATCCACCTTCCGTTGCACTTGCCAGTTGTCGCACTTGCACCAAAGGCAGGAGACACCAGCTAAGGTAGCAGTGCGTACTCCGTACCTTACCCTACTGTGGAGCGCGTTGGGTGGTCTCCACTCTAGAAACGTCGCTCCTTGACCCCTGCTCACGTCGTTCGTCCAGTCTTCTTCCATCCTTACATCCTTAGGTTGCTTCCCTCGGGTCTCCATGAGGTCGCAGTCTGAAGTTGGTCTTGTCTGCCTGCATCATACTGCAGGTTGAGGTCGTCTTCTGCTGGCACCGGTCGGTCGCCGTGGCATCACTATTCACTGCAACTGCATTCACACTCGTAACACTGCACCACTCGCAACAGGGACAAGCCGCATATGCACCGCAACCACCGCATTCCCAGCGTCGTATCGCTGCTTGTCTTCAATCCCACACTGTGTAGTACCTGACGTCTCTTTCGTCCAGTCTCGTCTTTGTTCCTGGCGATCCCATGCCCCCTCCTCGCGACTCGCCCGACCTTTCCCCCAAGGGCCCCAACTCCCCCGGGACGCGTCCTCCTCACGCAAGCCGTGTCAGGTACACAATGATCCGCCAGATCTTGTCGACTGCATCCTGACAAGCCGTGTCACAAACGACTCCAAACGAAACCACACAAAGCCGCCATGGCAACCAGGCACCTCTCGAAATAGCCCACAACCTCTCGTCGAATCGATGCGGTCAATCATCGTCCAGGGCATGCAGTCACCGCGCCAGGTATCTCCAGTCGTGGATCGTTGCGCCGCCCGACCTCACCCATGCGGTGCCTGGCTGCCCTTCTGCCCACAAACACCCTTCGTCTCCAACTTCGTCCTCAGGCTTGGATCTGCAAGGCTCCATTCTCCATCTTCTAAACAAGGACGATCCGTGGCAAAAAGATCGGTCTCGCTTGGCATGGTGACGCCTGCCGCTGTACACAGCAGTCCCGCTTCGCGCTTCACGCTGCACGCTGCACGCTGCGCAGAGACACCTGCCAGACGATAGCTGATCCACAGACTGATGTAGCCTGTATACGACTGGCAGTCAAGTGTCCGCTCAGACGCCGCCGCCGTCCCGGCCTTGTGAGCCTCGGAACGGATCCATCACGTATTCGAGCTGGTACCGAACTACCTATGTAGAACCTTACTCAACCCGCATGCCTGCGCTAGTGCCTATCGCCGAGGGCTGACAAGGCTTTCCTAGTCAAAGCCGCCATATTGAGTACGACTGATTCAGCACAAGAAGACCGACGACTCAGTCAAGTGCAAAGCCTCCTTCGCTGAACCTGGCACCTTCAGATCACGAAATATCTCGTTGACGGCTTGGGCCGGGAGATACGTCGGAGGACTGCTTCAACAAGGAAGGCTCGGGCCAGCTGGATGTCTACTAATTGTCCCGGTCACAGCAGCGGCTTGTGGAGCGGCTTGCCCGCCGTTCACACCCAGGCAGACGGTTCACGGCTCTGACCACAACCCAATTCTCTTTGCCGCCACATTGTTCGCCAGCCCATCCACTTGTTCGCGGGGCAGATCTCGACACCAATCGCTACGTCGCCTTTGCGCCCGCTCGGTTCTTCATTTAAGCGGCTGGTTGATGGCTTCGTGACATGGTCGATGCACTTTGGGGAAATTCTTACCATTTCAAGGCATCTCGCCGGAACGCCAATGGCACGGGGTTTGCGCCTCGAGAGGTCGTCCTCATCTTCGGCACATCAAGACCAAGCCAGTTCCAGAGAGCTTCTACCGTAGCCCAAGATGTGTCGGTGCCTTCTGGAACCACTGGGTAAGCAGGTGTTAACTTCCACGAATGACGTGTTGAGAAAAGGGGCCTCCCCCTAATAACCTGAGGCTCCAACCCGCCCAACCGCATGCCTCCCGGCCTTTTTGACCGTCATAAGGTGGGATGATGCTGCCACACACGCGACGCAACTATGCGCCAAATTCTGAGGTCAACTATATTCCATGCTCAGCATCTCCCTTGGACAAATTCGCAATGCTCTTTCTCGCGTCTGCAGCAGGCATCGGAAGTGGTACATTGAAAACAACGCGTCGGGACGATCGCCTGGTCATTCCTGTGGGAGTGCCGGGAACCAAAGGGATGTCTCAGACAAGACACTAGGGCATCACAAAGATCGCTTTGCACGAAGGAGGGTCTTTTACACACTTTGAAGCGTTCCAGCATACATCCTCCAATGCCATCCAGCACAACGCCCACGACTGGTCGCGTTTCGCCGTTCCTACATTCGACCTCGAGACGGTCTTTGGAATTCGCATCGCTCCTCCTTCCGTTGCTAGATCAAGGACCCTGCCTTGCCATCATCGACTCTTCAGAAGCTTTGCGCTTCGTCCTAGGTTCTGGGAGACTCAACTTGTGTAACCTCGTACCTGCAGAAGCGTTTATGCAGCCAGAACACCCAGCCCAAGGCCCAAGTGCCACATGCGCCGAAGACACCGTAACGTAGCGCTGACTGCCTTTGATCGTTCGGCCGGCTCCATCTAAACCATCCGGCCGTCCCACGGCGACTCACTCGAGACAGGTGGAGCAACTCCATCGGCGAGCGACGGGGGAACAATTATTCTGTACACTACTCGCGAAAAGCGCATATGCGGAGTTCAGCAGCGGGCAAATCGCCTGCTGAAGCTTTGACTCCTAATATGCTCAGACGTCCCAGTCTGATCACGGCCGGTGACACTGGACATGCTCTGCCAATGTCAGATGACAAAAAGTTGAGACGAAATCTTCCGCCCAAGCGCTCATTGGCGCTCGCTGCCGCCGGCATCGTTCCTCAAAGGCGTGGCGCCGTCGAATGGGCAGCTCAAGGCTCAAGCGATCGGAATGACCCATGCTTGCGCACGCGTCGGCGTGTCACTGAGACAGACGGACTCCGCGAAGGCGGCTACGATACACCATCAGGAGGCCCGAAATAGTAATGGGTTCCTCCGCCCATCCAGAGTTTAGCTCGAATAATACCTGCATACCTACATTTGAGTCTGCACTTGCACTTGCACTTCTTCTGGTGGGTCTCATCGAGGCTAGGTTCTCCTCAAAAGACTAAAATCCCCCGTAGGTTGACGAGGGGTTTCTTGTGTATTTTGCTCTTCAGCCAACCAAGTGGCTTGGTTTCAAGGATGCGACCAATGTTCCGAACGCCAAGGCAAAGAGTTTGACTTGATGCTGCATGAGAACGACTGTCAGTGAGGAATAGCACTCCATGGGCTTCTTGGCTAGAACGAGATGACACCTCTGTCAGCGCCACATTAGCGAAACCGTACCGTATGGATATCGAAGCATCCTCGTGGAGCAAAAGGGAGGGACAGCGTTGAGTGGGTAATACTGATGCATGACGGTCTGACTCCGTTTTCCAGAATTGGTCTCCGCCAAAGAGCCAGCACAGTATTGAGGAATGCGGAAGACTGTCCCAGAACTAGTCGGTGTCGGGGCTCCAGGTTGTCTTCAGTAGGATCCGCTTTTACCCCTGAGTGTTGGTGTCGGTTCCTTGCAACTTCTCAGGGACGCTGTGGCTCAGCCAACCAGCCTCGAGAAGGACAGCAGGGATCTGTCAAAGTCAAATGGCCCTCATTGGACACAATGCTTGAAACTTGGTCGAATTCGGTCAAGCCAAAGATCGTCGATGGATTTCCTTGTCGGGTTAGAGGAGAGCCGCTCTCCGTACCGCTGCTACCGCAGCATCTCATGGCTCAGGGCTTAAGGCTCTCACGGAACCAGGGCAGAATCACCAGACACGGAGCCTGGAGCGAGGAAGTGGGAGGAGTCAGAAAGTTCGTTGAGGTCCCCACCTGCTTTCCACGCCTCTCTGGCCCTGTCACCCTCAGTCTGCGGATACGTCGTGCTTCTTTCGTCTGATCTTTTTTCTTCCCGCTTCTGGCCTGCGCCTCCAGTCCTGGACTTAGCCCCCGGTCCGCCTCCGGCCCCGTTCAAAACCTGTCAGACAAGAGCCCTGTCGGTCCACGGCCATTATGCCTCGTCCGCAAAACATCAACCAAGAACCTTGGTTGGGGGGGCGGGATACCCAGGTCGTCATCTTCTTTCGCCGCATAAAGGAAAACGGAGCCGCAAGTCCAGCCGTGACGACCGACCGTCACATAGTCTCGTGTGTTGTTTGGTGGAAGATTGTCGTTTGTAATTACACTCACCGTTGGCCTCGGATTCAAACAACGTGAACATTTCTGTTACTGACTCAGCCACTCAAGCCGATGACGGTCGCCAGCACATATAGCGGGCCAGCTTTCCTCGCAGCATCCACCGCCTTCTTGACTTGTCATCCCGAAGCTGTTTATGGGCCGAATTTTGTGGTACGGACTGCCCATTCTTCAAAGAAACTGCCCGTCCGGGGTTCATTGCTACTAGCATCAGCGGACCAGGACCCCAATCTCTTGTCTGGCGATTTTGTTCCAGAAGAACCGTCGAACATTGCGAGCCCGAAACCCCTGGCCGGCTCCCTTGGCTTGCCCCTCCCCCTATCTCGAGCCCTGCAGAGTTAATCCTCGCTTGCTAGGAGCCCTTGAGAGGCCGGCTCTTGTTGCTGGACCCTTGATGGGTAACACGCAAGATTGCCGCAAGAGGTAGACAAGGCGAGGAATAGGCGAGATGTATCGCTGACATTTCCGCCGCGGCGTCTGTGGTACCAACCCACTGAATCAAACGATGGCACGAAAGTCGTCTACTGGCAGCCAGGCAACACGAGAACGTGTGAGACTTTGCAGGGCCCATCTATCAGATCTGCTACTCGCATCAGTTGACCATCCGTGGCTACCGAAAAGTCAACGGTCTCCATCCAGTCCGTGTCGTCGATAGCTGGCTGGATCAGCTTGGTTTGACCATGGCGTGCTTCGCAGACTTTGTCTTTTACTTTGTTTCCAGGCTGCGAAACGCACTAGGCTGCCAGACTGTCAGTTCAAAGTTGCCATCGATACGGCCCCAAAAGTCAGGTCCCGCTTCCGTAGCCAGGCCTGCGAGTGCTTTCAGCTTCATGCTCTCACCGCCGATGGGGCATAATCGCTGTCCGAATATTGACCAATGAACAGGTTGCTAAAGCCCGGTGCCCCGCCGAGGCAAGAATGATCATTATGACACTGCTACAACACGTCGAGGCGCGCTTCTCGATGCGTTGCCTATGCTTGCTCCAAGCGCCTTGTTTTGGACCTTCGATGGCAAGATGGTGCATGCTTACCATCTCCTGAGTCCTCAGTGTGCAGCTTGCGATTGTTTACTTCCCTAAACATAAGAGATACTGGGCTATGAGACTGATTGCCACCACCGTGAGGCAACAATTGAGGCATCACAGCATCGCGCCACTCGGCTTGGTTGATCGCTTTGTTTACTAAATCGACTTGGCCATCCGTACGGCGAATCTCCCTCATTGATAGAATATGGTCAACAGCCGCTCACCCTCGATCGCGAATCCAGCGTCTAGCGAGTCCCCAACAGCCCAGCAGGGTACCCAAAACTACCGTGATACCGGGCCAAGCATTCCCAATCGAGTTTGCTGAAACTTAGCAACTAGTCGCTTGTTCGACAAGCATTACAGGCATCGTTGGGAAAATTTCCGATTCAGCCTAGCTTCCCCGCCGGCAAAGGAGGATTAATGAGGCAAAGAACGAAAACAAACCACCAGTCATGCGACGCTGCGACGCAGCGACGCCAGTCTCCAACGCGCTGCTCCGCCGCATTGGTTTGCGATGCGCGGCAGAACATTCTGCAAAGACCTCCGTGCTCGGGCCTCTAAAGGGGACACGAGGGGGACCAACGTCGGCATGAACAGCTGTGGGCCATACGGAGAGGCTGTGCCGGATTGGTCCCTTTCATCGTCTGTCTGCGACGTCGACGTGGTGCATTTGTTCGAGATCGCACAAGGGCTTCCCAGAGGATCGACGCTAGCGTTCGTCTGATGTTCTCCCCGGCCCTCACCGAGACGGGTCCCCTGGCCGGCCTCCCGCTGACAGCTGCTTGACCCGAGACAGGACTTGTTAGCCGAATTGTTCGGATCAATCTACTCTCCCAGGTTGACCCAACTTCTAGATGATTGACTTATCCTGCAGTAGGCGTCGATTCCTGACTCAGCATGCTCAAGCGCGGAGCGTCCCCGAAGAATAGCCCAAGTAGCGAACGACCTCTTCCAAAATAGACTGACTGATCTGGTTGCATGATGCTCCCGGGTTCCCTGCCGTGTCCGCCCGCCATCCGAACGAGTCGATTCGAGTGGGTTCATGCTTTGTTCTAGAGTCACCTGACACAAATTCATGTGCCTGCTTGACGCCGTTCTCGGTTTCCCCGTCCCGAAACGGGTCAGCTTGCGGAAGATACTTGGATGGGACCAAGCCCTTCTTCTACCAAGCAACACCGTGCGTGCCAGGCGACGTATCGGCGAATAGATGGGAAAGGAGAGGCTTTGTGGTTCTCGTAGTATGCCGACTTTGGCATACACGCGAGGCAGTGTTTTGCTAGAATATCCTGGACTTACGTCTTTGGATGGCCTTCACTTTACCTGCCACGCGAGACCAGCAGGTAAGTACCGTTTTCAAGCAGTTTTACCGCATTGTGGTACCCTTTGAGGAGTGAGGGCCAACAATTGTTGTTACTCCATGTTGAATCCAGCAGGGCTACTAGCAACTGCATGGGCCATGGCTCAGTAAGAAGACGAGTGCTTCCAGACTTCTTGCTAGCTGGCTGAACTTGGAAGTCGTAGAGTATATCCCGTGAGATTGTAGACTGCAGCTTTGACAGGTGCCAGGCATCAACACATAATTCGTCTCACGTCTTCGAGGGTTGCAGTGAGCGACGTGGAGAAAGTTGAATAGAGTTGGCGACACTAGGTGATTGCAAAAAGAATACCGAGTTTGCTTGCAAAACGAACCTCTCGGGGTATGGAAGGTTGGTTCTGAGCTCAAGGTTGGAGGCAATTCTGTGGCCCTTTGAGTTCAAGAATCTGCTTAAATTTCGTGGAGTCAAGTAGTGTACTTACACGTGTGTGTCTACATATGTGTGTATGTGTCTGTGCGCGCTCGCGCGAGCGTGAATGATGCCTACGAGACCAGGAGCTTTGAAAACTCCAATTGCCTTTGGTTGTTCTCACTTCACTCTAGATGATGAGAGCCTCTAGCTAAGTAGCCTACTTTTGTCACTTTGTTCCGAAGATTGTCTCCTGTTGGATAGTACGAGAATAATCATGGACATCTAACATCGAGGCGTGTTACACCTCTCTGCTATATTGACTCCGAGAAGAGCGTTGACCGAGTGCGCCCCCCCCCCCAACCGCCTCAATGGAATGGTGTTTTTGCGGGCGTGCCCCAGTTTTGAGTACGCGGCGAGCGTGTCCCGTTCCCTTCCTACTCCAAGCCCAGCCTACGAAAGACACAGCCCCCCCCTTTCAAAGCTCCTTCATCACCTCCCCGACAGCCTTCTTAGCCATCCTCCGCCTCTGGTCCTCGGGCAAGCCCGCGCTGAGGTCCCTCACGGCCTGCAGCTTGCGCATCATCTGCTCAATCTTCTCCACGTCCTCGGCGTCCAGCTCCTCCTTCTCTTCCCCTGACTTCTTCGCGTCCCGTTCTATGGTAGCAGCGCCTTTGCTGCTACTCGCTGCTTTGCTACCAGTAGTAGTAGTAGTAGTAGTGGCGCCTGCTTCGTCTTCTTCTACCACATCATCGTCTTCGTCTTCCGGCTCCTGGTCGAGGTTCCAAATCGCCTTCTTCAAGCCTTCAAAATCCGCTCGATCAAAGCCGAAATCTAGGTTCTCGGGGTCGTCGAGGTCAAACTCGTCATCGTCGTCGTCGTCGTCACCGCTCGCCAGGGGTCTAGGTCTTCTAGACAGACCTCTTCCTCCTCCCGCGGCGGCGCCCGGGTCTGAGTCGAGGTCCGATGGGCTGTCCATATCGTCTGCGGCGTCCCAGTCGTTGGATTCTAGTGCCTCGAGGACTCTTGATATGCCCATTTTCTCTGGGGAAAACAAAAAAAAGAACTTTAGCATAGATGTCCATCATGTACACATATGAGTTGATGCAGGAACGTATGTTTCTCTGTTTGAAACACCAACCGAATCTGGAGTGTGGAAGCAATGTCCTCCGACGGATCACAGACAGGAGAGCCGATATGAAGAGAAGGAGATAAACAGATGGAGAAGACAACAAGAGAAACCAGCGGGAGGGGGGGGGAACTGACCTCCAAACTCGTTCCGGCCGTCATCCTTCTTCCCACCACGAACCTGCACAAACTCGAGACCCCACTCGGCGCAGAGGTCCTCCCACTCGTCTGCCTGGCCATCCCCAACCCCGATCCCCAACCCGACGCCGTCCCATCCCCACCCGCCGAGCCCCTCACGGACGATCCTGCCAACCTCGGTGATGAGCGCGCGGGTCTCTTCCACCGATGGTGGGCTCAGCGGGATAGCGGGCGCAGGTGTCGTCGCGGGAGCTGGTGCTGGCGTCGAGGATGGGGACAGAGGAGAAGAAGAAGAAGAAGGCAGGGCAAAGACGACGACCAGACCGCCCAGCACGGTGAGCACCTCCTTCGCCTCGGGCGAGAGGAACGAGGCGGACCATTCCGCGGGGGAGGCGATGAGGTCCAGCCAGATGGGGACGTCGGCGGTGTAGTAGCTCGTCTTGATGGGGAGGATGTGCGTTGTGCCCGCGAGGGTCGTCGATGCTGGTTCTGGGTGGTTGCCCGTGAGGTCTGCTTGCGCGTCAGTGATTATTGTTGTCTTCTAGGTTCCGTGCAGAGTTTCAAGAGCTGTAAGCTTTTTTTTCTCTTTTTTTGATATGACGAGTCGCGACACAAGATTGTAGGGATCCCGGTGCCGTAGTTCTCATTTGATTTGAGCTTCTCCCCCATTCCATTCCAGAATGAGACCGACTCGGATGAAATAAGGGAGGTCTTTTCTAGTGAAGAGATCTGGCAGAAGATAATGCCAAGAAAGAAAACTTGAGGGGGGGAGAGTGCGTTTACAAACCTTTAATGACTCTGCTCAAGTGCTGCGTCGAGTCGGCGAGAGAGACCGCTAAGACTCGGCGCGGATTCTTCACTTCCATTCCTCGTACTTTTGTGTTTTTTTTTTTTTTTTTTTTTTTTTTTTTTTTTTTTTTTTTTTGTTCTTTTTTTTTTTTTTTTCTTTGTTTTCTATCTCGCTTCCCTACTCTCTTTTTCTTTTTTTTTTTTTTTTTTTTTTTTTTTTTTTTTTTGGCTCTCTGGCTGTTTGGTTGTTTGGTTTGACTGTTGCAGAGGCCAGACTGTTCCAGAATGAGGAAGAAGGCGACGTTGGATAACACGAGGTCGAACCCTCAATGAGCTTTTGAGCGCACGGGATGGAAGTGAGTGAGGTGAGTGGGATGGCGGGGCACAAACGGCGGGCGTTCCGTCGGCGCAGGGTCCAGATTACCTAACTACCTTGCGTGCTTACATACCCGCCCGACCTGCTGCAGCTCTCCTCTCGGTTGCCCGTGCCGGAGCTAGACCCCAAGGTAGGTACACTTGCTCAAGCGTGCTTACACGAAGTGGTGCTGTGAGACATGGGACGGAAGCTTCGGGTGTAACATGAAATCCCTCTTCACCTAGCGGAAGAATCCTCTCTTGTTTCTACAACTATTTTTTTCCTCGGTCTTGGCAGCCAACACGAAAGTCAGACGCACAGATATCGCGGCTCATAGTCTTTAGGGCTTCGTCTTCATTGACTAAGATAGCTATGCAAATATCAAGTTGTACTTTTCGTAAATACTCTAACCGCTCGCTGCCTATGCCAAACACCGGTATTCCGAAGCAAAGGGTAAAAGAAAAGATCATGGTGCGTTCCAGTCTGGGAATCGTTATGGGGCTATGCAGGAAAAATAATCAAGAGGTAAAACACCCGCACTTCCGATCTTTGAGAAAACAAACCAGCAGGAAAAATGAGCGAAGCGACCCGTTTGAGGAAACGGAACCAATAATCTAGGAAACGTGGAAACGGAAGAGAAAGAGGTGCTCAAGTAAGCGAGAGACCCAAGGTCAACGATCATCTCCCCACCCATAGTGCCGATTCACAGCGTTCATCGCGCTCACGCCGGCCCTCACGAGCCCCCTCGTCGTCTCTTGGTCAATCCCCGCGAGAACGTCCTCAAAGCTTGTATCCTGCCTCCCTTCAGCATCCCGCAGGTCGCGCTGATCCAGCTCGCCCTGCCTCCTCTGCAGCACGGCCTTGGAGATGGCCCGCCCCCACATGTTGTACAGGTCAAGCTCCGACAGGCTGACGTACTCCCTGCCACCCGTTGCCCTTCCGGTCTGGGGATCTCTTCGGCGCCTGGAAAAGGGCCACTCGGCCTCGACGACCTCGAAGCGCTTGGTGCGGAAGAAGAGGTACGGCCACGCAAAGATCCAGAGGAAGGTCAGATAGAAGAGCCAGCGCACCCAGGTGGTGTGGCGCCAGCGATTCACGCGGCACGTGCTGTAGATATCGACTCTGGCGTCCTGGACGGGGAAGGAGACGTCAATGTGGCCCCGGTAGTTTGTCGCGCGGACGAGGTCCTCGAGGCGGGATTTGAGGCGCTCGTCATCGTCGAATCCCGGCACGGTGCGTAGGAGCGAAAACGTCTTGAGCCCTGCATGCGAGGCGCAATAGCGATGGCACCACTCCCGCAGAGTGGGCGGCTCCTTGCTCACCCCCTCACCAGCGGCGCCGCCATGAGCACCCGAAGACCTGCCGCCGAAGCCCGGGGCGCGGGTGGGAAAGACGGTACCGCGGCGAACCTTTTGGAAGTTGTCGGCGGTGCGGAGCTCGCGCCATGAGCGTCGGGCGGCAATATCACGGTAGAGAAAGGGGGTGAGATCGAGACGGACGTCAAAGTCGACGACGGTCTTGCTCTCCGTCTTGTCGTCGCGCTTGCGGATGCTCTCAGTATGGGTGCCTCGAACGCGAAGGTAGGGCCTTGGTGGCGACTGAGCAAGAGAGGTGATGTGGGATTCGAGAAAGGCCGGGTCGGTGTCGAGGCGGCGCGAGCAGTGGATTTCGGCACCGGTCTCGGGGTCCCTTCGGAAAAGGAGCGGGGAGAGGCCAGACTCGTCTGCCAGGAGCGGGGTCACGATGGTAGTTTTACGTTGTTTTGGGTCGAGCGAGGACGGTTCGTCTGTGTAGGATGGGGGCAAGTCGCCGGCGTTCGAAGACGAGGCGGTGGCGATATCATCGTAGTAGGGGTCGTTTGTTTGGAGGGAGAAGGCGTCGGAGGGTTGGTTGAGACGGAGAGGCGGAGGGTTGTCGACGGCAGGCGAGGTATCGTCCTTCTTCGAGTCTGGTTCAAAGGGTGGCATATCGGGGGAGAAGGCACCTGGCATGGACATTTCGAGGGAATGATGGTTTGGCCGTGGGAGGGGAAGAGGTAGGTCGACGGTAAGACGAGGGTCCTGGATGGGAGATGCCTGATAACTGATGCTCGATGGGTGGTAGGACTGAAGATGGAGAGGGAGATGGAGATGCGGGAAACCAAGGCGTAAACGAATGCCCCAACAGCAGCAGAGACGAAAACAACAGCGACAGAAAAACAAAAGAGAGACGATCGTGAGGGGATGAAAAGGACAGAAAGGCTGGTGTGTTGCCGTAGGCAGGCGGCCAAAAAAGGGTAGGCAGGCCGCAGACGAACCAGGGATGAATTGCCCTTGGTGCTTGGCTGTTGGGTCGACTTGGGTGTGGTGACTGTAAATATTTTGGCTTTCCGGTGGACAAGCACAAGGTTCCAGGCCCCGAAACCTGCGTCCCAAAGTCTTGGCCCCTTTGGCCACCAAGGGACTTGCTGGCGTTCTTTCCCCCACTCGGCTGGCTTGACTGGCTTGACCTGGCCACAATGGTCAGCTTGCCGGACCTCTCTCCCCAGGGCCACTGAGCTGTCGCAAGACTGTCATTGGGTGGGAACTTGGGAAGGGGGGACTTCGCTTTCGGGCGCGTGTGCGCCAAGTTTTCTTCATTCTCCACCTGCCCTTTCCTGCCGCGGTGCCACGCCCCAGGGCCCACGGGCCCACAGGCTACAGCCATCCGTCGCGGGAGACGAGTCGTATCGAATCGTCCCACTGTCGAGTGAGACGTCGCCCGTGCCACCCTCTTCAATGCGACGAACCTGGCAACTCAGCAACTCACTCACCTCAAAAATGTCAGCTGCACGCCGGGTCTTTTCTTACGGCCGCTCGTTGGGATAAAGGCTTTTCGCTTTTCCATACCTTAGGCTGAACCTGCCGTAGCTACGCACACATGCTCGTCTGTCTGATGGGTCGACCTTCATTTGTCGCACCTACGAAGCACTACATATATTTTTGAGTTGGCAAATATCCCATTCCCTCTAGTATAACTATGCATGACCAGGATATTGACTTTGGACATACGAGGCCAAATCTCGTGTCCGTACGCTCACCAACTCAAATCTGAATGCCGTCTGGGACCGGCGTACGTTGAACGGAGGTGACCTGATACCGAGGCTACCTGCTGAGCTTTCTTCGGACGACCATTCTTGACGTCCCAGACATCCTTCGAAATTCCCGAAATGATAATCCTAGTCTAGCAGCATTTGGCATATGTGTATCAAAATGTCCATAGACATCGCAAGGTTGGAACTCATCATCCTGGAAGTGTGAAGCTCGGCTACAGTGAGAGTGTAAGAATTGAAGGATAGCACTACAACTCCAATCGTCTCTTCCTCTAGAGTCTCATGCAGGCGAGTTGGATTTGTTGTCTCTTGACCGGGGCATTCTTGCTTGATTGCTATTGGCTCCCTCGTGTTCCGTGTCCTATATGGCAGCGCCGGACTCGAAACCGTTATGTTAAACAGTTAGGCTGCGTCGGCTTACGCCGATCCTCTGACGACGACTTTTGACCTAGTGCACTGATGGCACCGGTATAAGAACTGATCCGACTGCGAGAAGGGATGGAGCTGGATATTTACGACACCTCCGGCGGAGCATCAACTTATTCTGTTTCTTCTTCCATACCTAACCTACGTCAGGTTCCTTGCACACACTTCAATCCGCTACGATCTCACTGAATTCAGTTGTTACTCAAAAGTCAGTAAAGTCCAGCCGTATAGCATCGATCAAGCCTTCATCCAAACAGAATACGCAATCTCAACTCCCGATTCTCTTGGAGAAAAAATGGCATCCTCCCGCGCCTGGACATTCACCAACCGCGGCAACCCCCGCTCCGTCCTCTCCCTCGCCTCCCGGCCGGCCCCGACTCTCCCCCCTTCGCCCCAGCTCCTCGCAAAAGCCAAACCCGTCCCTGAAGCAGAAGACGGGAACCAATGGCTTCTCATAAAAGTCGCACACGCCGCCCTGAATCCGGGAGGTCGCCTCTACATCACCACGTTGCCCGGCGTCGCACGGGCGAAGACGGCGGTACCGGATTGGGATCTGAGCGGGACCGTGACGGATGTGTGGAGCCCCGGATCCGGGTCCGGGTCCGGACCGAACGGAGGAACAACCTCGACGGCTACCAACACCACCATCAGCCCAACTCCACCCCTTACCGCAGCGGTGAAGAGTAATTCACGCTTTTCCCAGGGAGACCGCGTCGCAGCCTTCATTCCCATATTTTACGGCTGGCCAACCGGCACTGGCGCTCTGGCAGAACACGTCGTCCTCCCCGCGCGCTATGCCGTCCGCGTCCCATCCCACATTTCCCTCAGGGACGCGAGTTGCATGATGACGGCAGGCTGCACCGCCGCCGTGATGCTCCGCACTACAGGGCTGAAAGAGGGCGACAGGGTTCTCGTCAACGGGGCCAGCGGTGGTATCGGGTCTCTGGCCTTGCAGATGGCTCGCGCGGTCGTAGGGCCGGGGGGCTACGTCGTCGGCGTCTGCTCGGGAAAGAATGCAGAGATGTTCCTCGGTCTGGGAGCCGACGAGGTCGTGGACTACACCGCCGCCTCTCCGTCGTCGCCCGCGTCGAGGGCGTTGGTGGAAAAGTTTGGGGGAGAGGGGAAATGGTTTGATGCGGTCGTCGACTGCGTCGGTGTGCAGGACGTGTACGTCAACTGCGCAAAGTACCTCGTCCCCGAGGGAATTTACTGTGCGGTGGGTATCAAGCCGCCCAGCCAGTCCTACGGGGCTCTCCTGAAGGCGGTTTGGCAGATGCAGATGAATGCCCTCTGGCCCCGTTCGACTTGGTTGGGCGGCACGGGGAGGCGGTGGGTTGCTGTAGCTATGATGGATCCCGGGAAGGCCTTGATGGAAGAGGTTGTTGCCATGTTGGCGGATGGGAGAGTCAAGGCAGTCGTGGAGAGAGAGATTGGGTTTGAGGAGGCTGTGGACGGATACGAGACCGTCGGTAGTGGCAGGGCACGGGGAAAGGTTGTTATCAACGTCGATGGACATTAAATCAGCTTACAGATGATGTGACGGTGCTTTTCGAAACAAGACTATATAAATAGGCATGGTACGTACCAGTGTCATCGGATATTGCCGTAAATAGACCCTTAATTATATCCCACTACGTTGTGTACTCTTTTCAAAAATCTGCTTAGACCACCGAAGCATGACGCGGGTTTACAGTTCAACATAGATATTCAACTCTTTGCCCCTTATGGGGCTAGCCTTCTTCTATTCGATTAAGTACTTGAGAACGTAAGACTCTTGGGACTGTCTAGATTTACGGCTATTCGTCAGAGTCAAGAAACTCAGCACACGAGCCCCTGCGCATGTCTATAGTCAAAACCCACGGCCACCGCCTTTGCATATGAAAGAGCAGCAGCCAAAACCTGGGACCATTAGTAACACCTCCTTATCTTTCACCTCAGTGACCACAAGAAAAGAGATGAAAACTCACAAATATGTGCATCAACTGATGGCTGGCCCCCAGGAGGTCGAACGTCCTCGGGAACCATTTCTCTGGAAACTGACCGCCAAACAATCAGTAAAAGATTCCCCAGCTCGAAACCTCGTCTTTCGCAATGAATTCTTCCACAAGAAATCCCCTTTGCAGCAATCAGAAAAGCAGAGACAACCCACCTTGGCCCAATACACGAACACGGCAACACAATTACACCCGGCCGTCCCCAAAACCCACCATCCACCAACCCTCGCCCACACCTCCTCGACGCCATCCACCAACATCCCTTGCCCGATGGGCAGGACGAACGCCGCGAGCCCAAAGGCCGCAAAAAGCGCCGCGCGGTGGTGGCCCAGGTCCACAGCGCCCAGGTCTGGCCTCGACGTCGCAGCGGCGCAGAGAGCCGCCAGCAGGCCCGTCAGCGCGACGTAGGCGTCCCGCGTGGCAGGGCGGCAGGGGAAGATGTAGTGCGCGAGCGGGAAGACGGAGGACCACATCAGAGCGAGGACGCCGTGGAAGTCGGCCTTGATGCCTGAGAGGTAGACGACTTCGCTGTGGGACATGAGGGTGTGGAAGCTTCAAGGGGTTCATATCAGTATTCAACAAATACTATACTGAAGCAAGGGGGAACGAAAACCGAGCTTGGTAGGTGGGGGCCAAAGTGAACTTACGCCGTGGACAGAACGAAACAGATGGTCACGCCGAGAGCATAGATGGCGCAGACGGCCACATCTGCGGCTGAGGCGATACTCCATCTGGCCGGTATACCATCACCAAAGATGTAGAATGGTAGCAGAATGAAGATGATGGCCCCAATCGCGTGGGAATAGATGTTCACTGTTCTCGGTATAAGACTGTGATACCTGGCCAGACTGAGATAATTCTTTCTCAAACTCACCGGACTCGTTGTGTACACAAGTCCAACTAGCGAAGCAGCCTGACACTGAGTTACACGCTTTTCTATCTCGGTACGTATTAGAGAGACACATCACACGCAAGCCTTAAATAAGAATACCTACCGGTACCCGGTCTTGATATGATCACTCCCGCATCTACGACGTTCAGCTCCTGTGTCCGTACCCCACCAGGAAATAACTCACTGCTGCCACTCAGCTAAGAGATCAACCGTCAACTTTTCTGACCCGACGAGAAACTTCAAAAAAAAAAAAAAAAAAGGGAGGCACTCACGCAATTCTTCCCATGAAAGCAGAACAACCGTCTTCTCGACCGTTTCTTCTGCCTGACTCGAACCGCTCCAGCTCCACAGCCACCTCCCAGAAGAATCGCTGTCGATGGCCGTTCTTAGCCTCCGCCTCAACGCCGAAGTCGACAGGATAGCTGCCATTGCGACATGTATAGCTCTATATTGCGTTCCTTTGGGTGGGAATCTCGGTTGCTGGCAGAGTGCAATGTACACTCGTCCCAACTCTATCCCAACTCTTTATCAGGACACGAAATTGAGGAATCCTCACTATGGGCTGAGTTGTACAACACCGAATGTCAAACCAAAAGTCTTGAAAGGACATTGCGCAAACTGAAAGTCGCAGTAGGTATCGCAACACCAAAAAAAATCATATAAACCCTACCATCAAACAACCCAGAGATCAAACGTGGAGAACAACATACTCCGACATCTAAAAAGAATTCGAAACCACCCCCTCCCAACGACTCCTTCAATGGCATGATTTGCCCTACTCGCTTCTTCCTCTTCGCCGCCGTACCCGCCAAAGGGGGGGTCCCAAAAAGCCCACCAACTCGAAACCGCTCGTCGGAAGCGCGCCGATCCGGTGCGTCCCATGCATCCGACCATCGCTCGCTGTGACGACGCTGACGTATGCCCATGAATAATGCAACGGAAACCCATCCAACCAACGTTTCCCAAACCTGCAGCGAATTAGACGTGGAATTTAAGACCAATAGGTAGAATAAGCATGGAGCAGGGAAATGTCGTTCTGGGGTGGAAATAGGTGCTTTGATGCAAGGTAAGACCATGATACTACCGCGATGAACCATGACGAGGAAATTTTCGCACCAACTTTAAAAGTCAAAATAGCACACGTTTTAAGCAACCGGAAACTATACGTGCTAATAGGAAAACTTGGTAGACTATCAGGCTATACAAGACCAACGCTAGCCGTTTGACGTGGGTGGTAGAGAGGACCGGCGCCATGTCCGACCCCTGAGCGTTGTAGCCACAGATTTTACAATCTGAAAGCAATACGCTTACGGGTCAGGAATGGCAGGTAGGCAGAGCAAAGGCTTTGGCATTTGCCCTGGAGTACGGGAACTGATCTCGGTGAAATGAGAGCCTAGTACCGGTGGTTGTCTGGTTCCTGGCCGATGAATAGATAGTCGAGAATGGCCTTAAAACGCCGCTCTACCCCGTTCCGATTCCTGGCCATTTAGACCACGGTCCAGCTACAGAGGCAGCAACCTAGATTTTCCCTGGGAGCTTGGTTATTTCGACTGCTTTTGTGATCTTCTATACGTGGAGTATATCGACATTCACGACAGCGTCATCGTCGTCGTCGTATTTGTCCTTTCGAAATAGGCACAGCGCAATACATCTCTTCACTTCAAGGACAAACTTAGCCTCGCAGTCCTTGAAGAAAAAACTCTCAAGGCAAACGAGGGAGCTTTGTGGGAAATCTCAACTGCGACCGCCCGCTCCTCTCACCATCAGAGATAGCTGACATGCACGTGCGAAAGCAGCACTCTCAGTCTTCCCTGTCGTACTTTTTGACCCGAGGGACTCAATGTATTAACGTCTTATAGGCGTGACGATTTATATATGCGAAATGGCAAAAGTCTCACCATGGCCTCCATGGGCGGCGCGGCGCGGCACGGCACTCGTCGTCCTCTCGGGGCCAAACTTTGAACTGCCGGTATCCGTTGCCACCGTTGAAGCCTTGAACTGGGACAATACTCGTGGGTCTGAAGCTGTTGGAATCTGTCTTGAAAGTTAAGTCAAGACCTAACGCAAAAGCTCGTGACTCCGTTTCGAGAAGTTCAAATCCTCCTCGCGTTCCTTCGCTTCTTCTGGCACCCAAGTCTTCCATCAGTTTCACACACAAACCAAGCCAAGCCCCCCTCGACCAATTTACGGCCCTGAACCAAGACCACAGTTCCTCCACCATGGATCAGACGGACGAGTTCTTCGCGAGATTAAGACACAGTGCCCGGTTGTTCTTGCAAATGTAGCTTCCTAGTTCCAAAATGGAGGCTGAGAAACGCCTTTAGTTTCTATTTACACGGGCAGGCGACAGCGCGTCATTTCACGCCTAGTTTGTAACCATACTGCTGCAACTGTAGACTTCGCCAATATTCAATCGAGGAATCACTTCTTTCCTGAGGGCGAGTTTGATACTGACGAGAAAAGTTGACTTTGGTATAAGCTTGCAAGCTTGTTCACCTCCCTGATAACTTTCCGCACACCGAGACCGCGTGGTGAGTCAAATGACTCCCAAGGTCGGTTGCGGAACAAAGCTCTCATCGTCCTCCTACTCACATAGGCGGATTAATGGACGGAGTGTCGGCGAGTGGCCATTTTGGTATCATGCTGCTTCCGCTCCCGCTACCTCCATCGCTTTCAACCACTGCCAAACCTTTATCGAATGGTATCTTCAAAATTGAAGCAAAGGGACCATCCTTGGGAATCAGTTGACACATCCGCTGAACCGCAAACAGGAAACGCCCCGTTAGCTTAGACAATTGGATTTGAAATCAAAAACTCCCCATGCACAAAGGACCGTAGTGTTTCATCACGTCTTGGCAAGCGATACGATCTTCCTCCTAGAGATACTGATTCCAATTGCAGCACTCCAACGTCGCCGTGTAGCAAGGCAGACATATGCGCCGGATCAAGAACCAAGTAGACAAGACGAATGTCACCAGCCGCTCTGCCGCACGCTGGCGCCTCCTCTTACCTCTGCCCCCTCATTAGTATAGAAGTTTGTAAATATTTCTGGAAGCCTTCTTTCGCCTTGTTGACTTCAGAATAACGTTGCCATTCGGCTTCCAGCCACCACATATGGAAAGGCTTCGAACAAAGAAGCATTTGTCCGAACGCAGGGTCGCGTCAAGCCCTCTCGTCGTTGGCTCCCGGCACTCTAGGAGCCGCAGCCTCGCAAGATGCTACCGGGCGGGCCAAGCCCTGTACAACGTCGATTCCTCAAAACCTCAAAAGCGTCACCCGCGGCTTCGTAAGCCTCTCAATCTTGGTACGGGTCGGCCGACCCCAGGCACCGAGCGAGACATTCCGCGTGCAACGTTCCCCGAAAACGCACCCCTCCTGACTCGCCATCGGGCCGGTATTGCATGGCGCTCATTTGCACTGCGACTCAGGCAGCAGGTTTATGCCAACCCTCAACAAAGTGCAAACTCCGGGTTTCTGGGTTCTGAGTAGCGAGGAGAGTAAGCTTACGTGCAGGGTGCGCCTGAAGCTCAGTGGTCGCTGTGGTCTGTGGAGAGGGTGCGTAATTACCTTGTCGGAGGGACTGCAACCTCAACACCTCGCGATCGTCCTCGCTTCGAGGTGGATATAGCTTGTCGACCCGCAACACCACGTTGCCCCTCCGCACGAGGATCACCTTCAATTAACACGTCGGAACGAAGGACGGGCTTTTTTTTTTTTTTTTTTTTTTTTTCTCGAGACGTAACCCTATCGAACCTAATTCTCGTTATTGCCTCCATTCTTCAGACATGAATTTGGTCAACGACTCGACTCCTGTTCCTTTGGAGGGACACAAACCAGATGGCCGGGATAGCCTCTCATCACCGCTTAATGAGGTGTAACGACCCTAGCTCACATCTCAGACATGTCATCTGGTGCGACGAGCTGCTGTGGGATCACCCAGGACGAGAATCCTATTATGGGGGATTCCGTGATCTGGAGCCAGTCGACCAGCCTCGGAGGGCGTGCACACAGGAACGGACCGCTCAAATGAGGAGCAAATGGTAAGAGCCCCCCCGGTTATTCATGATCCTCAGCGCAAGGCACGAGTCAATACCCCCGTCTCTCCACGATTCGAATGAATACGATGCCCCCAATGCTACTGCAGAGTGGCTAGTGCTAAGGCGGCTTGTGCTCAATGGCAAGGGTGCCGTCCGCGGTGGACAGATCGCTTTCGTAGGGTTGGTGAGACACTGTGGGCATAGGACAATGGCCAGCGATCCCGCCGACGGTCTGACGGGTGCTGAATCCGGAGTATAAAAACATATTCATCTCCCTGATGCAAGACACGATTGACACCGAGGAGAGAGGGTGTGACAGCGCTGGCTGGTCGTTCAGACACCTTCTTGCGTACGTATGCCATGATGGCAGCTGCAGGAATACATCTGATGGACTGGAAGCCCAAGGCACTCGAGTAACTGGCCGAAGCTATTGGCGCATATCGCAAGCCACACGATAATCTCAATGTTGGTCTGGACCTTGGCGGGGTATGAGTGGATGTGTCCAGGACTAATTGGTGCATGCAGCAAGATGGCATTTCTGGCGTGAATCCGCATTAGTGCCACGCGGTTGACAACTGGCCAAGATGATTGAAACTGCTTAGTTTCTATCCGTAGTAGAGGAAGAAGCAAGCGAAGAAGGTTGAAGTATGTGGAGAGGGCTCCTCAAAGGTGGATCAGGGGCATCGTCTTCGTGCTGCGCCAACCGCCCTTCAAACCCAAGCCACCTGCGTGATGTCAAGCAACTAGGCTATTTCGAGGCGCCCATCAGCTACTCACACGGGAATCAGGTAATGTCGGTCGACGGGTGAGCTGACAGCCTGAAAATGGATGATACAAGTGCGGTACAGAGTGTGAGAAATGATAGCTCTGAACGACTCGGTGCGGACCACCACGGCGATATCGCCGAACTCCGGCGACGAATGTTATCCCGGGCCGGCCGTATTTGGTAAGCTGGACAAGCTGTGTGGAATCCACGCGAGAAGGCGGTTGACTTGATCAGCCGGGTAGAGTCCAATGGCGGGTGCACACAGCTCGGGCGAGAAGTTCAATCTGGGTTTAGAAGCTGATGAGCAGCGCTTGCGGCGTGAGGGGACGATCGCTGATGACAATATAGTATCTGACGGGGTTGAACTGAATGCTCTGATGCTCGAGCGTCAGCAAGATGGGAGGCCGTTGATAACTGACCCATTATTTGGCCCCAGATTGAGGTGCTTTGTCCGCTCCTTAAATCCGTCTGTAGCCAACCCTGATCCTAGCTGCTTCCGCACCTGCGCGCCCTGCAAGATTGGCGACGTTGGCCCAGGGGCGCATAGGTACGTTAGGTGAATCAGACATTGCGTGCATTTGATCTGTCAGAAGCGTGACGTCTACCGGAGGTGGTAGGCTGACACTGCTCTGATTTTTTGAACGCGAGCGATGTGTATCCGTAGGGAAATGAGGCATACCCGTACCAACTTGGAGATCGTTGGGTGCGGCGGCACGCGCGTTCCCGCTAGCAAATATGTAAGCCGAGAAGACCAAGGAGCCCATGAACCATATGGTCGGGGCATTCCAAATGTTCAAGGTGCTAGGCTCGCACGGAGACACCTTAATCGGAATCGGTTCGACTGCCGACGGCCAGGGGCGTCGTGAGAGTGGAAAACGGTAGCGACGTGCTTAAAAAAGTAGATAGGACTGCGTTCTTCTGGAGCAATTAGCTGAAGGGGGATATCGGCTGCACTGGCGTGTCCAAAGTAGGACATGGCCCGTAGTTGATTGCCGGAACTTCTGCAGCGAAGCAAGCAAGTCGACACCATCTTGGACGGCTGAGTATCGAGAGCCCTTGCCCAATTACCGCACATGACCAGCAAGTATTTGCCCGACAGACCAGGTTTTGCCAGGGACGAGCGGCGTAGGCCGGTCTAGTCCAGGAGGCGCGCATTTCGAGGCAAGGCACAGCAAATAGGTTGATGGATACCTCGGAGGCCTTGGTGTGCCGCAGGCATTAAGATCTCCGCAAATGTGCAGCATCATGGCGGAGAGGTTGGCGAGTTGGCAGAGACAGGAGGGCTTCGAGTGGCCTTGCCCAAATTCCACCAACTGTCTAGGGCTAGTCTATGACGGCGACTAGCCAGTCGGGCGCGCGAGGTGCGAGACGGTGCCTCAAGTCAGAAAGGCCACATGGGCTTTAGCTTTGCGCACTTTAGCGTTGATGGTTGATGCGACGCAACGCGATGCCATGCCATGCGCTGCGCGGCCTGCATGTGCTGCATATTTGAGTGCGCCCGCCAGCCCAACTGCATGTTCAAGACAATTCGATCTGATATGTTGCCGGACCAGTAGACCAGACCAGACTTGGACGCCGGATAGTGAGGTACTGAGGCGGTGATAAAAGAGCTCGGACACCTGTGCGGATGAGAAGCTGTGGGGAGTGAGGAGGGACGGTTCGGTCCCTGAGATCCGCCCAGTATATTCTCAGGTGGGAGACGAAATACGCAACGTACACACCGCGGATGCTGCGGCGGTTAGAAAGTGACGGGAGAGGGGACAATGCTTGATTCATCAGACATGGTCTGATGCTGACGTCTTTTGAAGTAGCGGTGGGGGAAGAGGTATGGATATTCTCATCGAACGATACGATTGAAGTCCGTCTCTCTGACAACGACTAGACGCTGGATACTGGAGTTACAGGTATCCGTACTTGTACGCCAAGTGACGAAAGATCTCCGGCGGCCAATTCTGTTTGCCTCTTCCCTCTCCCCTGTCGTTGTCGGCAGGAGCAGCCGCAGAGCAAGACCAGTGAGCGATGTTGTGTCGCATTGGAGGCTCGGGCGGCACATGAACAGGATTAGTGCGGAGTTGCAAGAGTCAGGAACGACGGTGGCCGTTTCCAGATGATGTGATGCGAATCCCGAACCAAAAATGGAACGCCATATGGAATGGGTGAATGGCATGCATATGGAGGGTTTGGTGGCCTGCCTGCGTGTCGTAGAGATCTGTATCAGCCCGTTCAAGAGGCGTTTCCGCAGCTGTGCCGAAACGCGCTCGGTACCAGCGCGGCGGTGATTGATGAGGTGGGTAATGTCAAGTTACAGTGGCATCCTATTCACGGCCGTGTATGACATAGGTTACGACCCAGTTCCCGAGATGGCGTCCTCCTCCATTGTCGTCTTGCTCTGCATATTCTCACTTCCGGGAAGCCGGGCTGAAACTGGACAACGCTGCCTGCCGCCAACACCCGGAGCCGGGACGATTGCCGGTTCCTTTCGGTCTTGACGCTTGGAATGGTGGGAAACAAACGGCTTGACCGGTGACGCCGCAAAGTCAGCTAGGCAGTGGAGGTGGAGAAGCGGTGGCTGATAGGATGAAATCCGATGCCATCCCAAGTTGATTCGATGGGAAGGAAAGTCTAACTGACAACGAAAGCCGGGGACGACGTCAAAGCAGCGGCCAGATGAAGATGCGCTAAGAGACTAGTCAGAGACACGGCTTCGGGCGGATGGAATGAAAGCCAGTGGTGATGTCTGCAAACGGCGATAAAGTAGAAACGGCGCCAGCGTCGTCTGAAAGCAGTCAAAGGCGACGGGAATATATCTCTTCCCCTGGGATTGCGGCATTGGTTGCGTGTGTGTCCCTGCGAGAAGTTGAGATGGTTGACGGGAATGACAGACAGGGGAGGGGTGGGCAGTGGACGGAGGAAAAGACCAGAGCTCGCAGCTCGACCAGGGACGCTGCAGGGGTAGAGCAGGGATGACAGAGCGAGAGCCAAGGCTAGCAGGGCTACAAGAGGGCTAATGGGTTTCTCTTTTAGCGATGGAAGTCTTCGAGTGTTTCCGCCCCGCTGAGAGTCCCTCTCGCGTCTCGGCGCTCCTCGGTCCCTGGCAGTGGAAGCGTCGCGATGTGGACGACGCAGTCACAGTCCAGGAGTCGTGGTGGAGCAACGCTGGCACAGCTGGCGATGCTGAACCTTGGACTTGTAGTCCTACGGGGCACGGCCAGTATCCGTAGTGTATGTATGCGTACGAATAGTTGGTGGCGATGGAACATGTCCACCGAGCCAGACAGGGCCCCTCCACCAGACAGCGCTTCTGCGGCCGGCCGTGCGTGGCGTAGCCCTCTTCTTCTGTTGCCTTCTTTCCGCGTTTCCGCCTCTTTGAAATTCAGATGGTCTCCACTCCGGACTCTTCCTCTTTTCGTTCAGGGGCTTCCGAAGTAAGGTAGGGAGGCATGTCATGTAGATGGTGCGCCTGGAGGTTCGAATGCAAGGCAAGTTTTTTGGGGGCGAGAGGCGGCTGTCTGCGCTGCAGCTCGGAAACCGAGTCTCTCTGCCTACTGTTTCTGGTAAGAGGTAAACAGATTATCTTATCTGTACCTTGATATAAGTAGAATAGATGGGTAAAGTCGAACGTACCGAGGTAGTCTTGGAATAAGGTATCCCAGCACGTTAGGTAAGGTAAGGTGAGGTGAGGTGAGGTGAGGTGAGGTGAGGTGCAGGTCTTTCTGTAGAAAAAAAAATATTGAGTGCTGGTGGGAACCTGGAAGGTAGTGGAGAAGCGGTACGTACCGTGTCTTGCCTCTTCCGCAGTATCCACCCTCGACCCTATCCGTACCCGATAACTACGTTTCATTGGATGAAATGAGATGCCAGTGGAAGTGCCCCCAAGATGCAAAGCGGTCTCTGAGAAGGATGGGCCGGGGACACCCCCGTCCCTGCTCCGTGCTCCAATGGTCCGTCCTGCCCTGAACCCGGTACTTGCGGGTTGCACCTGCCGCCGTTGCTTCGCGCAGGTACCGTTCGTTCCTTTCTATTACCCTTCCAAGGAGACAGACAACATAGTTACATACTAAGGTAGGTAGTTAGGTACTTCGTACAGGGCATACACGAGAGGGGCCCGACTTTTTTCTTCTTCTTCTTCCACTCCTTTCCTCTCCTTGAACACCCCCCTGCGGAGGAGGCCCTGTCCTTGACATCCCGACTGCGACCACTGTTGGTACGCATAGAATGTATCCGTAAAGCAGTGGTCAGCACCGAGTATTTCTCAAAGTATCCGTGCCTTGACCGCGTGCCGTTCCTCGCAATTTAAGTGCCTTGCGTGCTTGCTAAGGGAGTCTTGCCACGGATACTCTGGAAACCCAGGTATGACATATGAAGGAAGCTACAAAAGTGTATTCAGATGTCTTCGTACGTACAGACTTTGAAGGGCGCTCTGCAGCAGAAGCCTACAAAGGAGACGAGGGAATGTGACAATAAGGAGAGAAGTGCGTAGTGTCTGCTGCGTATACCTGACCTTACTACGTAGGTACGGATACACGTGCGATGCAGATGCGCATATCCACCCCGATCCAGCCCAGTACTGCTTCGCATCTTACTTAATTTCGCCTACCGCATAGTACGAACCGTTCCTGGACGGCGCGCCCTTACTCTTCTCACTCTCTTGCTCCGTTCTCTTATTCTCCTAGCACCCGTGGCACCCTCCCTACTACGTATGAGTCCCTCCCAGGCCTGAGTCCCGTCAGTCTCCTCTTTGGCTCCATGTCACCGCGGGTTGTGGACTGGCCCTCGCAGTGTCTCCCGTCTTCAGCGATCGTAATCATGCCAACCCACACCCCCAGACCCATCTGCTTCATTCGCCGTTAATGACTACAATTTTAAACAAAAAGAATTGCTACTCCCCACGAAACAAACGCTTTTGCCTCTCTTCATGCCATTGTTCGTCGGCTCCGTCTCTTAACCCCCCTCAATCTCCCGCAGACCGCCTTGCGACTTAGTAACGGATTCCCGTCCCTTTCACCACCCCCCTCCCCTCATCATTGGCGGCCCCAATCCACACCACCACTCACCACCACCACCGCCGCTTACCATTGACCTTTCTCTTCCTTTACCTGCCTCCGCCCTCGCCTCTCATTTCTTCTTCTTCCAACTTGCCCAATCTTTGTTTCAACACAACCGTTATTTATTCTCGTGCAGCTCAGGGGCGCTGGGTCCAGAGACATCCATGGGAGCGACTCACTGGTCCCTTTATGCAGATCCGAGATACCGAATCCCCCTCTCTACCCTGTAATTCTGTAATCTGTCTGTCATCGACCCGACCTTTCTTCTGCCGCATGCGCAACCGTCGTCAACCCTCGTTAGACTGCATCTTGTCCTCCACCGCCGACGCCTGCTTTCAAGTTGAAGCATGCTTTTTCAATCCTCTACCTGACACTTTGAATACCTCTCCCGTTCCTCTTTGGAGCAACGACAGTGTCTGGATACGCCTTGGCTGTGATACACCCGGGTTAGCCTCTTGCATCAGCCATGGAAACTTGCGAGGGAGTTCTCCTGATACCCCCTGATCGGGGCCAGATCTTGGGTCGCGCCATATGGAAGGTACGAAAATGCATTGAAACCTCGGCCGCACCTCCCCCCCCCAAATCTCTGTCTCTGACCTTTGCCTTTTCTAGCCACGATATGTCGTTGTGGGAGGCCGCAGTGTCTACAGGGAACCCATCGCCAGCCCGACCTTGCCTCAAAATACCTCTTCAACACGCTCAAACGGGGCCGGTACCAGATCCCAGCCGCGGACGCCCGGCAACGACGATTACTACATCTCCATCTTCAAGTCAAAGGTAAGGCTCAACATGACGGAGTTCTCTGGCCCAAACCTAAGCCACCTGAACTTGCAGGACGACTGGGAGCCCTCCTACCAATACCCCGTCAGCTCTGTCATAGACTGCCAAGTGCAAATGCTCGCCCATCGCAAGCAGGGCCCCGTTCTGCCAACCCTCGTCATCACCATCAACGACAAGGAGAAGAAGCGCCGTTCTAGCAGGGCCGCTGGCCTGATTTCAAGCAAAGAATCCACCGCGACCACCCTCTGGTTTCGCACGCCTCCCGACGACCATCACATTAGCCTACACGAATGGGCCCGTTTCATAATTTCGAGAAAACTCCCCATGAGCCCCGAAAGCCCGGCGTCTCCCTCCTTCACCAACCCCTTTGCCCAGCAGCGGTCTCGAGACGTTGACTACTTCCCACGACCTCCGAGTGGAAACCCGAATCCCCGTGGCACTCTGCAACACAAGAACTCGACGCAGACATATTCGAGCCGAGACCGTCCTATCACTCTCAGCTCCGATTCCCCGAGTCTTCGTTCCAAGCGAAGTGATGTTTCATCACCGACAAGTACTACCCATCCTACTCACATGGGCTTCAGCATCCCAGATCCCAACAAATATACAACTGTCCTCCCGAGCGATATCCCCTCGCCTGTAACGACGATGTCGATGAGCGACTACCAAAGAAGCGAACTGATCGAGGGATGGACGACGGCACAAGGACGTTCGTCCACCATCAGCTCACCAATTCGCGGACGAGGCAGCGTCAGTTCAGGAGGCGCTCAGCCTTTTCCGGGAGCCGATTCTAGTTCACCACCGAACCAGCGAGAGACGATTCTGGATCGAGCCTTCCAACTACGGTGTATCCCTGGTTCCGAACTCGAGACACCGGGCGAAGAGAAGCTCACTTCTCTGGCTCGGTTTGACGCATTGATGCGCGAGGCCGACGAGAAGATGCGCCAACAGGTGAAAGAAGCACATGCCGAAAAGATTGCGATGCTGAGCGCGTTTGATGTTGATGAAGATTCATCGGAAGAGGAGGCTGATGACGACGAGGAAGATGAAGACGATGACGAGCATGACGAATATGCGCACGAGGCCGATGCCAGCGGCAATCGCCAAACGCTGATTGCGCCCAACGCCCAACGCGCCCTGGAATATCTCGCCAGTCGCCAAGAGGAGGCAATGTCACCTCGCTCGCCCGCGATGAGGAGCCCGCCTGCCAACTTCAGCGTTCCCCTGCAGGCTCCTGGGCGACCACACACGGCGCATTCCAAGATGCGGCCGGGTGTGCCGCAAAGGACCTACAACCAAACTCAACCCATGGGCCAAGAGAGGCTCGATGTGCCAACCTCTTCATCCGGTAAGACATCCGATGATGCCAACTTCCGAACCAACGGGGAAAAGCGGGCGTCCGGCTCCAGCGCCAAACGACTCAGCTTCAGCGAGTTCACCAAACGTCTCTCGAGCACCAGCAGCTTACTTCTCGTCCAGACCAACACCAGCGGCGGGAGCAGTTGCGGCAGCAGCGAGTTCGACCCAAGTCCATCTCAGGTACCCAAAGGTACTTTGAACGCTAAGGGTGTTCCTCCACGGCCTCGAGACCTCGAGAGGGAGGAACAAGAACGGCGCTGCGGATGGCGAAACAGCGTCGGATTCACCGAGGGCGGTTTGATTTAATTCACGTCGCCTGCCGATTGCCATAAGTACCCTCTCCACCATTGTTCGCTTCGGCCGGATCCAACCGACCACATCGTTATTCTCCCACCACTACCCACAGCTCAAATCTATACCCAACTCACGCCACAACATAGTTGATATATGTTGTACGATTTTTGATCTGACGATACCATTGTTCGCATCTAATAACGACTTATGATTGGGGCTCACAGAACACGGACCTGGCGTTTGAAATTTGTTCTTGTTCATTGCTCGTTGTTTTAGCAGTTGGAGGTTCATAGCATCGTTTTCAAGGAGGGGGGCATTTGCCAAAGGAAGCAGCACCTCAATATCAGAGACGTGAGGCCCGGCGGCGTTGACAGACTCTAGTTGGTACTGGGCAATTTGTCAGTTATCCACCTTGTCTGCCCTTTCTTATGCATATGGCGGGTGGTGTATTTTGCAGGACGTTACCTACGAGTTCCTGACTTTCATTTCTCAGCGCACTTTACGTTCAGAT